TAATCCTCTCAACCACTGAGCTTCCTTCGCTGCTTCAGCCATCGCGATGTATTCTGCTTCGACTGTCGACGACGATACTGTAGCTTGTCTTTTTGAACTCCAGGTTATCGGTGAGTTGTTCATCATGAATATCCAACCTGTAGTTGATCGTCGTGTGTCTTTACAACCTGCCCAATCGGCATCAACCCATCCTGCTAGATCGCTAGCCTCGCCACCGAGACGAATACCATGTAAACGAGTGGACCGAAGGTAGGTAATTACCATTATCCCTTCTTCCCATACTTTCTTCGTCGGTTTAGTGAGGTACCTAGCAAGGTATGAGGCGGCATATGATATGTCGGGTCGAGTACATGTGGCTAACCACTGTAGACATCCTATTAATTCTTGAAATGGTCGAATTTCACTCTCCGCCTCCGACATCGATGGATTTTTCGCAGTAAGGGGTAATGGCGTTTTTCGGTCTCGATGTAAGTCGTTTTCTGGAAACTTCTGAACTATCTTATCGATATATGCTGGTTGGTTTAACCATATTGTCTTTTCTTCTCTGTTCCTTGTTACCTTCATACCTAAGATAGTACTTATCTCCCCCAGGTCGGTTATTATCCACCTTTTACCTAGCCCATCGAAAATTTCCTTCGCTTCTTCCTTCGACTTCGTGGCTAATACCAGATCATCGACATAGGCTAGCAGTATTGCTGCTCCCTTTCCTTCGATTTTCCCTTCTGGTCTGTAGTAAAGACCCCAATCTGATTCGATTCTTGAAAAACCTAGGTGAGATAATCCTTCGCCGAGTTCTATCCACCATGTCCTGCCAGATTGCTTTAAACCGTAAAGAGACTTAACTAACTTCAATGTATTACATCCAGGCTTCGGTTTTATCCCCTTGGGATACTTCATGTAAATTTCTACATCGAGTTTACCGTTTAAATACGCCCCTTCGACATCGGCCTGACGAATTTCGAGATCTTCGGTGGCCGCTATAGTCAAAAGTATTCGTAACGACCCCGATCTACCGACAGGTGCGAATGTCTCTTCGTAGTCGACACCTGGTACCTGTGAGAATCCTTGAGCTACTAGTCTGGATTTATACTTTAGTAAGTTTCCTTCTGAATCTGTCTTCACTTTGAATACCCATTTACATCCAATGGCTTTACGGCCCGGTGGTAACACCGTTTCCACCCATGTTTCTTTAGATTCGATGTTAGATATCTCTTTCTCCATGGATTCCAGCCACTTCTCACCATCTGGGCCGTTTACTGCTTCTTCAGGAGAGATAGGATCAATGAGAGAAGTATCACTTTCGATACCTGCGATAGAGGCGAGTGAGACTAACTTATTAGGCTCGCGACCAAAGTCTAGGAACGAGTCTGTTAGGCCTGCAAAACGGTGGGGGGGTCGAATAATTCGTCCGTGACGTGTCGTCAGGATCCCCTCATCCCCATCATTTCTTCCTTCCTCATCATTTCTCTCATTTTCGACGATATCGTTCTCATAGATCCAATTTCCTCCCCAAATGCCCTGTCCTCGTCGTCTTTCAGTAGGTTGTGGGCCTGTATTAGGTGAGTTGTCTCTATCGACATCATTTCCTTGTTCATTATCGATATTTTCCTGTTCGCCACTTTCTGAGCGGTCGTCAGGGAAAATCTCTTCGTTGACGACGGGGTCTAGGTCCACTTCGATGGCGTCAAGAGGGGTTTGGATGACATCTGGCGACTCTCTAGTAGCCACCATTCGTCCTGTCGAGCGACGAACGTCTCGTGAGTGTTCGATTCGTCCCGATCCGTCCATTCTAACGATCCAACCGCTCACACCCTCATCCTGACCTAGTATAATGGCTGACGAACCCCTAGGTATCGTGAAGTTCGACTTCAGCCTTATCTCTCTTGGTATCTGAACGAAACATCGTTCACCAAATCTCCACACGCTATCTAAGTTCGTGTCTCTTCCTGTGAGTGATGTCCAGCCTGATTTACCACTGACACCAATCGAGGTTTTCATAATTATAATGGCGGCGTATCTGACAGCATAGGACCAATATTCGTTCGGTAGTCCTGAGTCGAATAACATCGTTGATACCATCCCCTTCAAGGTACGTATCATTCTTTCCGCCACTCCATTTAATTCTGGTGTGTATCTTGGTGTGATGTAGTGGTTGATCCCTGCTGACAGGTAGAATTCCCTCATATCGAGGCTATCGAATTCACCTCCCCCATCAGACCTAATCACCCTCACCCTTTCACCAAGCTGTTTCTCTAATTTCGAGATACACTGTCGAACGATATCTGACGATTCGTTCTTCGTCGTTATCGGTACGGCGAACACAATTCGACTCGCCCTTTCTACACCAACGAAGAAATATCGTTCACCTTTTATCGCCGGACCGAACGGGCCAGCAATATCGACATCCATTCCTACTCCTTCACCATCTCCTTTTAACATTGGTGCTTCTTTATTCTTCGGTAGACGTGTTATCTTGGCCTGCATACAGGCGGGACATTTATCGGTTGTAAAGGGATCGTTCTTGTAAGTGTCCCAGTCCTTCTTCAATAGTCCCTGTCTACCTAGACTCTTTAGTTTATCTACACCTATATGTCCGAGTCGCTGATGCTCAGATTCAAGTGGTGAAGTCGCCTTCGGTGTCGATATCACGATCATCGCGGCAGACATCGCTCTGCCAAATCGTACCGACCATAGTGAGTCATGTTTCCTCAAACCTAGTTTCTCTTTACCTTTACCTATCCATCCACCACTGCTGCTTAGATTCGCCTTCCATCCCCATGAGAGTAACTTCGAGAGGGATAGAAGACTTATCTTCGCTGTGGGGACGTGATGTACATCTTTCAGTACCATTTTCTGTCCTGAATCTAGTTCGAGGTTAATGTCACCTGTTTCCCAAGCCGTCATTGACTTGCCAGATGCTAGTCCGAACACTCTCGGCTCCACTAGTCTTTTAATATTCGTCATTATCGACCTGTGAGGAGTTATGTGGTGAGTAGCACCACTGTCCACTACCCAGGTGGGGATTACACGAGTGTGGCTTACATCATTAGACTCTGTAGCTAATCCCACCCACTCATTATCCTTATCCTCAACCCACGGGTTTTCAATTTCTTCGGGCCATACGATATTACTCGTGTACCCTTCTTCATCATCGAACCACGATTCTGTCGACATGGCCATCCCGGCCCACGCCTCATGTTCACCATCCAATGACGAATACATCAAGGAGGTTTTGGAGTTATCCTTGGACTGGTTCTCATCCTTCGAGACCGTATGTCCTTTCTTATTATTCTTATTATTATTATTATTCCTCCATTTCTTTTTACCTCCATCCTTTCCATCTGCGTTTTCCTTCCTGTTCGTATCCTCTCTTTTAGGTTTACGACAGTACTTCGCTAGATGTCCTACAGTGTCACAGTTATAACACTTTCTGGTTTCTTTTCTGGGCTGACCATCAGAGATATTATCTCGGTTCACCCTCATTCCTTTATTTCCTTCGACGAACATCGCGAATCCCTTCCTATTGGTTCTACCAACAGGGCGCGCTTTACGTCTCGCCGTTTCTTTATTGAAGATCGATAAGACCTTTTCCCAAGTTCTTTCCTCTGCTATGAGGGATGTTACTTCGATCTGAATGATCCTGTAGGATGGTGCTAGAATGGTATTGAGGAATAACCCAGCTCGTTCCTGTGAGTCAAACTTCAACCCTACCAATCTCGCTTCGGACATCGTCTTCGAGAAATCCTCTACATGCTTGGCCATTTCTTCGGCTGTCGCATCGTCCCTTAAGTCATAGCTAAACAACGCTTGACGGACATTCCTTTGATTCTCGATCGTCGCTGTTACATGCAGGGCTATGCAGTAGTCCCACATTTCTTTAGCTGACATCTTCTCAGATATATCAAGCATCACAGCATCCGACACTGTTCCCTTGATCATCCCCTGCGCTTTATTCTCCCTCGCTTGCCACTTTTCCCATTCCTTCCACTCTTCTCCAGTAATCCTTCTACCAGCCACTTGCCCTTCGACGGGCGTGGTAGGAGGTACTGATCCCGCCCTCTCAGCTGCCGATCTAACCCCTACGCGACCAGGTTCGGTATCATTACCTGTGACGATATTCCACACGTCACCTATCTGTAGATACACCTCGATCGACTTCCTCCACGGAGCATACGATGCTGGATCGTGGGATAACTTTGGGTGGTTCTCAAGAGAGATCTTAGACGACACAGAGGTCATTATGAGGATAGTAGAAATGGGAACTTGCCTTTGTTATGTTATACACAGAGGTATGTGGTCTTCCGACTCTTGATCTGTTAACGCTTATAATTAGATGATAATACAGAGGGGAAAAAGAGCATGCATCAATTCTACATGTCTCTATACTTATCACATTCCACTCACACGCATAAAACCAGAGACGATCGAATAAAGTTCAGAGGATAAGTTGAACGGAGAAATATTCGACGGAAGGGGTAATTATCTAACGGCGGTTCGGCCGTCCTGGCCCGATTCTATCGGCTAACATTGTGACATTCGAGTTGATCCTGCAGGATGTGTGTCAATGAATAGTGGAGAGGTATGTGAGTTGTGGAGAGATGAAAAAGAGTGTGGGGATAGAAGAGATGTGATATACACATGGATTTTACGAAGCTATCCCTTGATCACATCAGACACGTTTCAATGAGTGGAGAAGAAGAGGAGAAAGGTGTAGTTCCTTTATGGACATATGCCGTGTAATCAGTTGCGTGCGCACCTCATTGATACATTGCGCAACTACGCCAATTCTCCCCACTCATATCCTGAACAAACTGAGAATTTCGTCTTGGTGACAATGTATGCAGTTGTACCCAAAAGTACACGTTCCCTCCATAGTGAATTGCAAAGGCATCTCATACTTCCTTTCCAAACCGGTACTCAAATAGTAACAGATATGTACATCGCTTACCATTTATCTCCCGAATCCACAGACTTCCCTTTGTATCCATAAGTAGATTCAACTACATTCTACTCAGAGTACGTATTTCTATCTCATCAGGTGGGTAATTAATTCTCGTCCTAACCAAACCATCTGATAAACTGATTCTACCTTCAGAGCGGAAGTCGGAGCCTTCATACCATCCCCGAAAGATGATATGTCTTCCCAGGTCTCTTGTGTCCTCCGCCACGTCTCGATTGTCATCATCGGTTCCGTTCTCATCAATATCCATGCCATCATCACTTCCTACACCTTCCACATGACTGTTGTCACTCCCTTCATCATCCTCGCCGCTGTCCTCACCAGCCTCTTCATGAGAGGCACTATCAGCATTTTGTCCTAGGGCCTTCTCAACTGCTCCCAAAGGTAACTCATTCAATAACGTCAAGAAGAGTTTGTATGTGCCCTCAAAGTCCATGTCCTTCATGCCACCTGGAACTGGCTGATATACTTTATTGTCCCCTGAACTTTCATTTGCCTGGAAAAACAAATCTTGCAGTATTCCATAAGTTTTCTCGATTGTCTCAATTTTATTCATTAGCACACCCACCACAGAGTCAGGTAGTCTGTATCTGACCAAGACGTCTCCTTGCTTCCCATGGATAGTACACGTCCAAAAACCCTCCCTAGTTTCTCCTACCGTTACACGCGTAATTCTGATGTTGCTCTCTGGACCAGGCCGAGAACTCCAAAGCTGCTTGGTCAACTCAAAGGCCAAGTTCTCATTAGCTGAACATAAGCCATAATCCACAATCGGTGTAACAAGTAAGAGAGAGTCAAAGATGGTCTCCTGTCACTCACATAAGATTGGACTACAGTAGGGTGTCCGCATGTTGAGGGGTCTGCAATTAGCGAGTATCTCCTGCGTGGGCACAGGTAGACAAGACTCCACTTCTGGATTGTGTTCCGTTAAGTATACGTCAATGCCCCAGGGAGAATTTGGATAGAGAGTTCTTCGGACAGCAGTGTGGGTCATTACAGAGCCAATCCCCTTTGGGTTTGGCCAAAAGAACGCAGTGACCACCATGTTGTTGGTGTTCACGTTACTGCAACCCATGGTCTCTTGGTATCTAAGTAAGTTAATTTCCCAGTGATCCAAAGGATTAGTTGGTGGTGTACCAATCTGCTTCAACACTTCCCTATCTTGATGAACAAGTGCAGGCGTGAAACAAATCTTATTGTGTGACTTAAGCCTTGTAGTTTGCCTCTTTATAGCTTTCACAAGCTGAGATAACTGGTTAAAAGTGTACAGCCTTTTAGTTCCTCTATCCCAAATGAGAAGAAGTAGTGAGACTTCAAGAAGGGATGGCTTCCACATTGTCTCATAGCATGAACGGAGCAACCTCGTCGGGGTCGGGTTGGGGGGGGGGGGGGGGGGGACGCGGGCAAACATGGTTCAAATCTGCGCACGGATCATGGACATGATCCGAGTTGGCAGGACGAGTCGCGGCGGAGTATGGAAAACGTATACATTTTCATCAGGGACTGATGGCAAACAGGACAATGGGGAAAGTGATACGTGAAGTGAGCATAAATCATACGTGTCAGTAGAGAATGTTTGCTCATCGCGGAAAGTGAGATTGAAGGACGTGTGTGACGATTTCGAGGGAGAAACCGGCTTCAACTGGTTTGGTCTATGCACTGTATGGTAGTAATCCTCCTGTTAATTTGGAAAGTGTCTGATCTCCAGCCTGAATTTGAAGCAGTAAAAAGGAAAGCTTTTCACATTCCACATGACTCAGTCCATTGACTCAAACACTGAATCTCATGTGATGAATCAATTGTGTGCATTTCTAAGTCAATTATTACTTTGCATCCCATTTCATTCCTGCCTGCTACTTAAGGCGATTGTCTGTATATCAAAGAGAGTGCTTCAGAAGATTTCACAAAGTGAGCAACTCTTTCTCTTCTGTTTCAGGAGGGGCACCAATGAGCCATCGCTCTAACCCAGCCCGTGGTACTCGATATTGATCAAAATCTACCCCCAAATCCCTGTCAAAATCAGAATCTTGGATTGTTCCACCCTCTGGATGGCTGATTTTCACTATCCCAAGGATGAAACGATACACACTTGCTAAAGGATCATATGATTGTTCTTCATATTCACCTTCTCCATGCTGTGCATCCAGCACTGCAGAGCTGCAAAAATAGGAACTTGACATCTCAAGCAAGCCCATGGCATGCTGGATGTCAGGATCACGGGTACCTGGTTACGGGAGTGTAGTAGTCGTACTTCTTTTCCATTACCATGTCCTCTCCTACTACCCCTATTCCGTTTTCTCACACCACATGATACTTTTCCTCGATCCCCGTGTCTCATATCGATCTCCGTCTTACTTCGCTCTTCTACCCCATGTCCATTTCCGTCTTTACTCCGTTACATCGGTATCACCCCGTTCCCCTTTTCTATATAGATGCAGTCTATTTCCATAGTCCCCTTGTCGAATGTATTTTGTGTTCTTTAGTATTATCTTTCGCCACTCGATCTCAATAACCTTTCAGGTCTATTAGATCTTCTACATCAATAGGTTTGTCCCCTACGAGGCCTCTACAGCCATAGCACAAGTGACGCAGACTATCTACAACGTCTGGTCCTGACACTGGATATCCGGACTCCAAATCCTCTCGATTGCCACTTGTCTCGGCGGATCAAATTGGACAGGTTCACCTGTCACTACTGACCTCCCATGAGCTGTGTATGACTTATAACCATTTACGGACTCCTTAACAGACCAACCGTCAACAATCATCCCCGGCCTTTCTACCAAGCTTGAGAAGAGCCTGCTTGCTTCCCTTGCGCAAAACGGAAGGGCTGAATGTCAACAAAGCCAACCTCTGACCTCTCACAGCCGCATAGAGCTGGATGAGGGCCTTAGAGTAACAAGCCTTTTAGGTTATCAGGGGAGGATAATTGCCTCTGTCCACTCACATAACTCTGGTTCAGTTCTGTCACCTTTGTATTCTCCATGAAGCAAAACTCTCAAGTCGTCTGAAACAGGTTCCCACATCCAGTTAGCCAAATTAGGGACATCTGTTGTCAACCAAATTTGGCTGCAGATACGCTCTCCTTGGACATCCAAAGTCATATGAGTCAGGGTACGACTGCGCGACGGATCAAAACCTTGGAGCAAGGCAGCAGATGTAAGATTCTCTTGTATTGCCATGAACGTTTGGTCCTCTGATGTGTCTTGTCTTGTATTCAAGTTAATGGGTGGCAAAGGCCAGAATGATGTACCAAATAGGTCAACTTGACCAAGCCTTCTGTGTGTCATGACTGGGTTTTGAGTGACCAAGGAGGTCCGGACAAAGGTTCTGACCTCGGTGACGTGTTGCTCACTTTCGACGTATTTTCCGACCCCTTCCTCCTTCCCCCCGGTCCGGCGTCGCGGGCAACCATCATACCGTGAGTATGGATATGTCTTCCAATGAAGAAGAATGGAGCGTGTATGAGGTCAAGAAGAACAAAGTGGGAAACCTCGTGAATACTGACCGTCATATATCCATTGCAGCGCTGGCGCACGGCCGTAACGGACAACACTTGTTCATGAGATATGGAACATCTTTCTATGTCATGAAGTTGAAATGCACATATCTTGTATCATTCCACTTCTGAATCCTACCTCGCTTGTATCTTTTTCAACTCCTTCTTCCTATCTCCCCCTGAATGTCAGCGGACAAGACTGGGCCGCAATGGTCCGTTTGTCAGTGACAGATTTCCCCTTGCCTCCGTTTTTGTTAACAGCTATGCAAAAGTGGGGATCCCCAATTGCATCCGTGCTGGTTGTCCTATTTCCAACAATTTTGTCCATTTTGCCCATTTGTATCCTTCTGTGAGCACCAGTCAATATACTTTGGTTTCTGCATATGTTTGGAATATGATAAGTAAAGAGACCAGTAAAAATAATGCATACTATTTCCCCCTCTAAATCGTGGTCTTTCCACAAGCGAGGATCAATGGAGTCGCAAACACGGACTTCAACCTCTTTCTCATCACAGGGGAACCAGGGGTCCTCCAACATAAGTCCTCCTTGGTCATTGTTCTACTCACCAGAGCAAGACAAATCCCTCATGGAGATACCAAAGTTGCTGGATCAGAACAAGGCCGACTCACCTGAGATGCGGAATGGCGAGGTTATGTACACGTCAGTGGATGGCAGGGGGCAATGAAGCATTCAGTGAGAATTTCTAAAAGCAAAGGGACAACAAGCAATTACACAGCTTAATGCCATGCATCATGTCACAGCTCATCCTCTTTCAATCATTGGGTATACGGATAATCCTCCACTATGACAACAGCTTTGTCTAGAACCCAACAACTCCAACTCCATTCCTACTTCCGGACATCGTGTCTTCGTCGTCGAGAGAAAAAAGGGATCGCGGGTATTAGTCGAGACAACCGAGTTTGATATCTCTCCTGTCAACCCAGATGAAGAGACTGTGTTCCTGCCGTCTGTGGAGCTTGTCCTAACGGGCTAGCCGCCACCTTCTTTCCTCGTCTGCCCAATAAAGTAGCATTCCCCAAATCCAGATCGAACCCTTGCTTCGCCTCCCTACCTCGATCTCTCTGACCTGCCCGACCGTCGTACAACACCGCCTCAGCCTCTCGTCGATTTGCACCTCCACGTCCAACATAATTGGTCACTGGCGTTTCTTTGATTCCAGCCGCTGCATTGGCAGCGGCCCTACCTCGATGTTCTTCGATTTGTCGCGCGACGGCTTCACCGTGTTTCCTCCGAGCTTCTTCGACTTGTGCTTGCTCGTCTACGTCTTCGTCTTCTTCATTGAGACCGTGGAGGAAACCTCGAGTTCCAGCTCCGCCAGGTCCGTTATAAGCTCGTCGACGAGCACCTTCCTCTTCCATTCGATGCACGGCGTAGGTGACGTCGAAAGCCTCTTTAAGAGCGGTAACACCCGGTGAACGACCTTCGCGACCGCCAGCCCGCATAGAAGCTAGTAGCGGTGAATCGAGAGGGACATTGGATTGAGGAACAGTGAGACGGGTGGAAGGAATGGGAGGTTGTGCGGGAGGAACCTCCTGAACTGTCAGCTATGATCGCACGTGCAGAAAAGCAACTCACTTTGACCCATGGATGGGCAAGGAATTCATCGATGGTGTATCGCTGAGCAGGATCGACACAGAGAAGATGTGTGATAAGGTCTTTGGCGGATGTTGATATGTCATCCCACCAAGGGCTGAGGAAAGTGTAGTAGCCTCTGGCAACTTTTTCAGTCAAGACATTGATAGACTCGTCGTAGAAGGCTGAATGGTAAGCCTGAGGCAACGGGTCAACGGAGACGGGAACATACGAGGGAAACCGCAGAGTAACGTGTAAAGCACACAACCTAACGCCCACATGTCGACAGACTTGCTATACCGCTCGTCCTTTACGATCTCCGGAGCCGTGTATCCGACAGTACCACAAGGTGTCATTGTTTGCTCGTCCCACACAATCTTGGACAGACCAAAATCGGCAATCTTAACTCTGCCGATACCACCACCTCCGATACCAGGTCGGAACTCTCCTTCATCCTCCTTTTCTTCGTCATAAGGACGATGGATCGGGTGACGAGAAGGAACGATAGGTATGCGATCGAATAGCAAATTCTCCGGCTTGATGTCGCTTGAACATCAGCTGAAAGTCTTTCTCCGTCGGAATCATCAGACTCACCGATGGACAACGCCACGTTCCTCATGGAGGTATCGAATGCCCTGGGCAACCTGTACGATCACATGTCTTGAGAGAGCTTCGGAAAAGTAGGTGAGCTTGACAATTTGATGAAATAATTCGCCCCCCTCCATCACTATCACATCAGTAATGTTTGTGACGATACGGATATGAAGCTCACATTCAAGGACCAGGAAGTAGTGTTCGTCACTCTCGAAAAAGCTGAGCAATTTGACTATGCCAGGATGATCTATACCTCGCATGATTTGAACCTCTTTGAGGATATTCGCACGCTGGATGACGTCAGCTACTTCCTTTACAATGTGGACAGCCATGGACAGTCCTCAACACCGCTTGCACTCCACCAGCCGTGACGGGTATACAGCATACTCCCGCCGCTCAAGGGCCAGCGGTCGTGAGTGCCAACGGATAGGAGAGAATAGAAGGAGCGAAGAGAAAACCAACCTCGGTAACACGCGGCCTCTTTTTGAAATTTGCATTGAGGTGCTTGTTGCCATGCTAACGGCGTGTCAGTCAAGTTTAAAGATGGTGAGAAGCCACAGACAAGACATCAGATGAAGGAAAGACCTCTGCCGCCTTGATCCCGGCCTGGCCAGAGCGCGGGAGACGACAGCAGACCCGGGACTGGGAATTCGTGGACAGATAGAAAAACAGAAGACGGTGCCTCACCTGAGACGAGTTGAGCTCGTACTTTCTCACCACCTTGACTGCAACTTTCCTGCCCGTGGCGATCTCGACTGCCTTGTAGACGTTCGAGAAAGCACCATCTCCCATCTTTTCGACTAACGTGTAATCCTCGAGACCCTGCTTGGTCAACACGCAACTTCAAACCCGACATTGACAAAAAGACTCACCTCATAGATGGGCATCTTTTGCTTTGCCTGATTTTCTTCCGCCACTATCAGTTCCGCCTCCTGGCGATATGTCGGCGAAGTAACAGGCACCTTACGGCCTTGTTGACCGGCATGGACTTGCCCGGAGATGCCTTGCACAGGCATTTCGTCGACAGGTTGCAGAGGTTGCTGTTGAGCAGCAGGAGCGGCGGCACGAGTACGGCCGTTTGAAGGCTGAGGTTGGGCGGAAGTAGGTTGAGAGGCGTGTTTGCCGTGTCGAAGGATCTCTGCAGAGTCAGGATTAAGAAGCCAAATGGAGTCAAAGTCGTCAAAGTAGCCGAGGGGTGAGGTCGGGATACGTCTCCGAGAGCCTCCAGTCTTAGACACAGGTATTGATAGTGGTGTGGAAGAAGGTGAAGGCCGTTTGAGGACCTTGGAGGCATGATGTAATTGGCCACCCGGACATGACGTCGGGGGTGTGTAAATGGGCGAGAGAAGCTTTGGTGAAGAGGGATAGAAGGATAGAGATCCTCGATAGGATATTGATGGGGTGACATGGACCATGGGCAAAACATCGAGCTCAGACTAAATATTGAGAATGTGTGTGAGGCTTATGAAGAGGACAGAGCGCGGTGATAGCTTAAACAACGTTGGTCAGGAGGATAAAGGAGCGGGGTTCCAGAAAGGACAAGACGTAATCGCTGACGTCAAGAAGGAGGGGTTGAGTTGTGCGACTCCGAAACTCAGAAGCGGGTCTGCAGGCAAGCAAGCGGGATGAGTGGTCGGACAAATCTATCCTAGACTTTCACAGCTTTAAAATGAGGATGGGAAATACCGTGACGTCTGATTGGAAGAGGCCAGCCACACTTCCGAACTCTCGGCCACTCGGGCGTGTAGTGGAGTGATGACGAACGTTGGGATTTGAGTCACTGAAAATGACACCGGAGATAATGTTCTTGTCCAAGTGCACAAGCCAATATGGAAGCTATCAGATAGAAGGAATAAGAGAAGACTCACGTTTGAAGCTTGAAAGCATTTGGTCGTGCAAATGGGACTCTTCGAGTTTTTTCAATGCAAGTTGATAATCGTCTTCCACTGCACCTGCTCCTGTGTTTCTGTCTCGTCCGGTTGGTGTATTGACAATCGAAGATTGGGTCTTGTCTGACGAATTATTTGTGAGAGAAGTCAGTGACCGTGGGAGTCCAAAACTTGCAGGACTCTCGATTCGATCGAGGGGAACGAGAAGTGAGGGTGACCGGAGGGGAGGAGTGGGAGTGCTTCCTTCTGAAGGAGAACTGAGAGTTGTGCCCGATGACGCGACCTCTCGGATGGGTGGGAGAGTGTGTTGGAGATGTATTGTGGCTCGATTGTAGCGGGTTTCGTATGGTCAAGCTGAATATTTCAATTGCCAATTTCAATGTCGAGTAGACCAATGTATCAAAGGTGACATGTATGATTTGATTCAAGAAAATGATCGAGATGGAATGGTAATTGAACAGCAGTGTCGAAGAGTAGTGGCGGGTTGTAAAGGCAGTGACGATGAAATGACGTCGTTAAAAAGAGACCCACTGTCAGCTGAGAGTCAAAATGAAGTAGAAGGGATCTTGCTTACAAATGCACTTTGGCCAGCGACGAGGACCGTATACAGCCTGATCTGACGTTTGAGGATGTTCTTTGGAAGAACTTTGATTGGAAGACGGTTGAAGAATGGTTGATAATGACGATGAAATGAGGAGCGAGGTCAAGTCGGAGTGAAAAGTAGGTAGGGAGAACGATGACGTTGTGTGCGCCCCGATACGATCTTGTGCCGTGATAAATGTCGATGTCACGGGTCAAACTGCTTTGATTTCTCTGAACGATCAAGAGAAGTATGTGGAGTGGATGTCAAGAGATGGTTTGTGTCTATTGTCCAGAAGAATGGGACAAGTGACGATGATATAAAGCGAGGGGGGGAGAGGGGATATGAGAGAGGGGAGTGGGTGGGGAGGTGACAAGGAGGAGCGGATGACGTCAATTAATTCCGCGGGAAATTCAACACGAGCTGTGCGTGGCGATCTGTGGCGCAGAACCGTAAGGCAGGCGGGTGCACGGTGATCGGTGACGCCATGACGATAACTCTGCACTTTCTATCTTAACTACTCGTACACCAACATGATGAATGCAAGATATATATCTCTACTCACCGCAGTCTGCAAGTCATGGAGAGCGTCTTAAACTGAGACGTCAAAAAAAAGCCATTGACTTCTCAACAGTTACCTCAAAGGTCATATGCCTAAATTCGAGATCCACTCCGCGACCCTCTTCTCAACCAACATCAACGCCTTACTGGCCAAGGGATCCTGTAGGCTACCACTAGGGGCTAAAGAGAGCGATACATGAATCTGGTTCCCAGGGAATTTACGTGCTAGAGATGGTCAGCGGTAGTACTATACAAAGAAATCCACATACCCAATCGCTGAGCTATAGGCTCTGACTCGCCCGTTGAACGATATAATGCGGTAGATGTTATTGGCATGGACTGTTATCAGCCACTTCCTAAGATTACCTCGATACTTCATAACTATGAGACCCCGTTGAAGCCATATTCATACCCTGGAACGCCTAGCGTCTTGAGATCGCTCAAGGACGCGTGTTGGTAATTCACACATGATTGCAGCTTGATAGAATGGTTGGTCTGGTCTCTACGAACCATATAAAGATCTGTTCTAGACTTCGGGGGAGAATAGAGGCTCGAAAGTGAAAGAGGCGTATGGTGGTCAATCAAGAATCAATCGTACTCACCCCTCTAGCCGGCATGGCAACAGCCCATTCCCCCGCCAGCTTCTTCTCTGACATATGTCCCTCCTCCCCTTGCTCATTCTCCAAGCTTCCATTGGCCGCACTGGAAGGAGGACCAGAACCTAGCCAGAGGAAATACGTATCTTTCAGTCTGGTAAGATTAGCGGAGAAGGAAGGTGCGCCAGGAAGGGGTGAAGGAAAGTAAGTGTGATGGGTCGTTATTTGTGGTTGGAGGATGTCGTCCATGATACCCAGCTAGCAGCTGGGATCAGTTGAATTCTATTGGGGTAGGTCTCACTCACTTTAGTGACGGTTTGGCCTCCAACCTCACAATCCTCAATGGGTATCAATCCTCAACGCGTATGGACCAAGTAGCCTAAATAAATAAATAGAAAGAATGTATTTTGTCGAGAGTAAAGTGAAGCTTCTTGCTGTGGAGCCCCGCACAGACCCCCTTCACCCCTTCTCCACACCCTCTTTCTAACCGTAACTTACTTAATCGTACTGAACTTTACACTCTCAATCATCTTATAACATCAAATAACTTGAGTAGCCTACGTATACAGGACAAAGTCACAATGGCAGAGCTCACACCTCCATCATCAAACAATAATACACCTCTTCGTCCTTCCGACCCAGATTCCGATCCTCCTGATCCTCCTTCACCCACATTAGGCAATCGTCCGCCTCATCCACTAGCCATGTCCACCAATTATTCTCCTCAGATGCAAGATTCACCACCTCTTTCATCTCCTTCAGGACACATAGATATGGATACTCCTGTTGGATACACAGGTGCTGATACACCACTCGGATCTGACGTGGAAGATGGAGAACGCGGTAGGATGATGGATGTTGGAGAAGGAGAGGAAGGGATGGATTTAGATCATGTTAGTTCTCGTTCTTCACAAGGAGAGAAAGAAGAAAAGATGGAGGTTGATGGAATGGGTGAAGAGGGGAAAGGTAAGAGGAAAGGAAAAGGAAAAGGGAAAGAGAAACAAAAGGAAAAACATCATAAGGTTTGTCAACATTGCTTGAATTTACTCTGTAATAATTGAGGGTGTCGTGAAGGAATATATGAAGACAACGTTCTGACTGATGAACAGGCTAGAGCGAAAGGTAAAGAAGGCGATATGTATGAGAGTGAAATTGTGGAGGGGTGGAATAAAAGTCAGTCATCCTCTTAGTCTTTTCATCCTCCCCATGCAGGATATGGGATGACTCGGCAAACAAAATCATGCTGGATAGTGGACGAGAGATAACAACTCCCAATACTGATATGGCAGAATTCGGAGATGTCTGCGCACGACCATCCCCAACTGTGGCATAGAATCACACCATCCTTCCCTGTCAAGCCTCGTCTGATCATCTCCCATGATCGTGTGGAACGTGAAGTGGTACTGGTGCTGGCGAGAAACTCTCATGCCATGTGGATTCTTCCTTGTTACTCCGTCTCCAGAGGAAGCAAAGTGCGTGATAGTATCGTACTCTACGACTAGATACTCTATCGCAGAATGAATCTCATGCGCCAAATAAGATGACCATGCATGACCAATCATCTTCCCAAGATCGCCCACCATCCTCCTTCTTTCTTCTCAGCACCTACCTTCCCTCCTTCTTTGTCGTTTGTATTTAGAAGTGCTCGAGATGATATTTGGGAGGGTTGCAAATCGGTCGAACCTGAAGATGGCTTCTGTCCCTCCCCCTTATCTTGATCCCTCATAGCACCTATATGATCCTGCAGGACTCGCATGCCACTCGTCGTACCTCCTAACAAAGAGCCCATAATTAGAGCTCTCATGAACAATTGACTAGGTAGTCGATCTCGTCATCAGTTCTGTTCTTGACATAGTCGGCAGCTAGCGCTCCTTAATCGTGCATCTTCCATAAAACCCTGAACCATAGCCTCCGGGTCACAATAACATGTACATGTCGTGATCGAAGAGGTCACTTGACATGATGAGCATATGGAGAGAGAAGGGAACAGAAGGAGAGTGGAAGAGACAGGAGTAAAAAGAGAATGAAGAGGAAACGGGAGTCGAAACTTACACAAAACACCAACTCCAAAACCCAAGACCAAACCCGCTATAGCACCATCTTGCCATTTCACAACACCTTTCCTCCAACCACTCATCCGTTGTTCTCCATTTTCCATCCCTAAATCCTCTCTCGTTCGAGTGATTTCAGAATTGTCCAGCTCTCCCTTCCTCCCAGACGAAGAAGATTCTTTACTTTTATTCTCCCGTATTGATTTTCCAGGAGGTCCAAGTTGATAAGAAGGATCAAGTGTAAAGATATTCTCTCTCATCCATCCGACAGATTCATCCAATATGCAAAATGAGGCTGTTGCGCTTCCTAAAGCTAAAGCATGACGTGTTCCGGATATACCGGCAGCATAGAGAATACGATAATTTCGGGTTTTGGTGTAAAAGTACTGTCATGTTAGTTTTTCACTTTCCCCTCTGTCTCCTCATTTCCCAGGTCACGTCCTGCATTCTTGTATATCACCTCTGTTTTCTCTACTATGACTGGAACCATGATGATCATTCTTGTCTTTTAATGCTATGACTTGTGCAATTTGAACATATCATTCGGATGGGATAACGTGGGCTTTGGGGAAAGGGAATGAAGAAAGAGAGAGAGAGAGAGGAGAGCAGAGGTCATAACGTTGGAGGAAAAAAGAGCATTCGGTAAACACATACCCATCCTTGTATAGTAGTAGGTAACCTATGTGCATTCTCAGCCAAAAATCTCAACCTAGCTTTCGATCCTCCTCTTGAAATACCAATCAACATTCCTAACATGGCCGAGCATGGGGGTAAGATGAGCAAAGAACGGGGGATATGTAATGATATTTTTTCTTTGTATGTCGATGGACCTGCTGTGGGATCTTCGATAGAAGTAGACATGTTGATTTCTTTTGATCAGCCTTTCGAATATAGAGGAAGATGTCAGTTGTAGAAAGATGACCATGGACAGGGACGGACAAAGTTCCTACTTTCACAATCTTAGGAGAAATTTCGGATCCGGAATTCTCGATCACTTCCGTTCGCTGTCACCGGGCCAACCTTCCCATCGGCCATCGGACCGTCGCCATCGTCTTCGCCTTTGTTTTGTCTTGTCAGTGAGATGAAGCGAAAGATCTCCGATGATCACGCGGAAGGGAATATAATGGGAGAATTGAGTTTGCAAAGAAGTGAGATAGAAAAAAAGAAGAGAAAGAAGAAGAAGAAGCAAGAGGAAAGTAAAGATGATATTGTGGACAGAGATGAAATGGACGAATTTCAACAAGCCACCAAACCGACTTTTATCGATAAATACAGAGTTGATCTAGGTCATGGAGCTGATGTGTTTTATCAGCCCAATGTGAGTCATCATCGATCGTCACGATTAAACAAGTACTACAGCTGGCGTAACCAGGTAAAGGAGCTGAAGGTTCAGTTCATCGATCGTGATGTCGCTCAAGAGTGGTACGATTCCCTTCTCGAGTTAGACACATGGTGTAAGTATTTTTGTGGCTCATTCATCACATTCTTCGTCCTACTTGAGGCTCGCAATGATTTCTCTTCATTCTCATCGAAAAAGAAGATAAAATCGCTCTTTGGACGGATGACGATAGTGAAGAACACCATGAAGAATTATAAGGTCTGATGGCTAGATCAACCCATGCTTAAACTCTACGGTCGGACTTTCCCCCAATCTAGACAAATAGCAGCCTACTCTATCTATCCTAATACCTCTCTATCATATTCCGGAACGAACATCACTATGCATCATCCCTTCCCTCCCATTCTCGAAACTATGCGTCAACGTCTGGAACAAGAACTCGGGGTCAAGTTCAATCATTGTATGTTGAATCGATACGATTCAGGTGATGTTTACATTGGGTATGTCTTCCAACTTTTCTCTCCAAATTGATGATTATTGATAGAGGAGAAAACATTCAGATAATTTGAACAATTTGGTCATTGCCAGTATCAGTCTTGGAGTTGAGAGAACGTTCGTGATGAGTCCTCGGATACCCAGTCGAAGGAAGGGTGTGATCGAAGAGGATGAGGGGTTGTTGGGGGGGAGAAAAAGTATGAAGTGGAAGTGAGTATCTTACAAATTACTTTAAAATGACTCATCTCCACTCTATCATCGTGTTTAACGTGTGAGCGATGGACGAGGGATTTTCGAAAATAGAGCTGATGACAGACTTGGGAATGGAAGTTTGGTCATTATGCAAGCTCGGACTCAGGAGTTTTGGAAGGTAACTGTCCCTCAAATTTGGTGTAGCCCAAGGCTGACAAATAGCACGAGATACCTAAAGAACCCAAAATCAAAACAGGAAGGATATCATTGACTTTCCGGCAACTGGTCTGATCCGACGTTGGGTATTCCGCAGGGTTTCGGAGGAACATGAGTGAACATTTGGCAGATATACATCACATTGCTACTTATACGAAATGTTGTTTGTACACACAGATACCTTATTGATTCCTTTCTTCAGACCTACTGAACTTTCTTCTTCAAGTTGTTCGAAGCTGTCCCGGGCTTGTTACGGTTTTGGTAGATGACAACACCGACGACGACGAGGGTGAGAACGACGATGTTGGCTGATGGTGAGCGCAGCTCTGATGATCGCGTTCAGTTGGAAACTCGGTGAACGTTCAGCGACACACATAGGCTTTCCTCAAGAAGTATGGGTTGAATGATGAAGGGGTGAGGGGGAAGGGCGATAGGAAGAGCGGGATCAGACTCACAGAGAACAAAGTGTACCGATGCACCTAGGAAACCAGCGATACCCTCCAATACTCCCCAGAAGAAGGTGAACACACCATATACGAGGGAGTAAATGAGATGAAAGAAAGATTGGATGACAGCGAGGATGCTCTGAATGAGACCCTAAGATGTCAGCGAATGATCATGCGTGGTTATGAGGAGCAGAAAAGGAATGTGTTCATTGGGCCAGAGGAGTAGTAGCGGGTGGAGGCAAGAGTAAACCTAGCGAGCTCACCTCGACGGTATGAAAGATTCCTTCGATGAAGTTGGCCATGATGTGATGTTTTGCTATGAAGAGGAATGAAGTTGAAAAGAGAAACACAATGCGAGACCGAGTTTTGAAGAGGCTGGTTGAACGAGGTTTGCCACCCGATTCCTATGACGTCAACACCACGTGGTACCCTGCTCGTCGGCGAGCTCCACCAGTTGATGGCGGCGTTTACCGGCGTTACAACACGGTGGCGAGATTACTTCCGTCCGGTTTTGCACATCTGTGTGTACTCGAGCTCACTCGTTACGAAAACTCGAACCTCGTATTCCATACCCATACCCCTTTTTCCTCCTCTCAACATCCCTTTAAACCCCCTTCCTCCCCCGCTCTCTCAATCTCTCATCCGTATACCCTACAGAGCCGATGCCCCTCCTCAAAACTCAACCTTTCCGACCATTCTACAAAAGGTCATCAACTTCGGATGCACAACGAGGCAGGCCCTTCCAGGCCTTCGACTTATCGACAGAATCCTCACAACGGTCCTCATCATCCCAACTCTTTCCGTCCTCCGAGGAGAGACGATTATCAACGAGAAGATCGATCCGTCAATGGTCATCCGAGATCAGACGTGAGTTTATTTTTGTCCCTATTTGTCAGACCCTCATATCAAAATGAAAAGAAAGAGAAATCATGTTGACGCCTTTTAACAGCTCAGTCAATCTCATAATCTTCCCTTTCCTAATCCTCGGACTCGTTCTCCACCAATTAGGTCTTCTTTCAGACCTCCCTCATCTCTCTCACGAACACCATCACCCAATAGAAGAAGTTTTGATAGAGATAGGGATAGAGGTCGACCAGATTGGGGAGAATATAATCGTACTTTCGCAGAAAGGGACCGTGCGTCTAGATCTATAAGAGAATCTTGGTCTGTAAGAAGAGATGAACCTAGATCAGAACGTATACCACAAAGAGGTTTTCGACCATCTCAACATACACCACCTAGAGGTCCTAGAAGTTTACATGCACCTAGTCCACCTCCTTATTTAGGTACGAATATACCAGGACCAAGATCATCTTTACCTAGAGATGAAAGAATTCCACCATGGGAAGAGAGATCACAAAATCGAGATCGACCTCGTGATTTTAGGGATCCCGATCGTCCACTTTTGTTACATCAACATTCTGCAAATTCTTCCCCTGAAGGGAAACCAACAAGGTATCCGAGATATCGACGTGGTTCTTCGAGTCCTGCAGATACCAAGAAACTTCCTACCAGTAATGGTCCAGTAAAAGGGTTGGAACTTAAACTTGGGAATGAATCCGTCAATCAGAATGACTTGGAGGAAGGTGAGGTTGTATCACCTGTGAAAGGAGAGAGGGGAAGATGGCATGATGATCGTTCACCTACCATACCATCTGGACCTAGATCTGAAAGATGGCAACCTCCAAGACGAGATATTCGACGAATACAACAACCACCTTTACGGTCACCGACCACCTCTTCAACGGGAACTAGGAGAGTGGCTAGTAGTGGTGAACCAGAGAGGGATGGATTATATCGACCATCACCACCTAGAAGACCTCGAGCCATGTCTGCAAGACCTTCAACACCTCCTATCACACCGACAGATCCGTTACCTAGACTCAGACCGCAGCCTCCAGATCAACCCTTCGTGGCGACGAATCGAACACTAGAGTCGTCGTTGACAAAACCGCATCAGATTGGAAAACCTGACGACCCCGAGAGACGGCCGGTGACCCCCACTTTACCTTCCCAATCTTCCAAACAGGTGACCCCAAGCAGAGGACTGAGCATCCGAGTTCCGCCCAGAGATCATCGTCGAGCTTCCAGCGTACCTCTCTCGGCGGGATCTAGACCTGCAACCCCGCTATACCCTCCGCCGGAAAATTCGACTTCACGTCCTACGACCCCTACCCACTACGTGGTGCAGTCTCAGTCACTTCCGTCGTCAATAATTCCTACAACGGAACCAGTGCTTCCCGCCGGTGTTCTCAAAGTTGAAAGTTCAGACGTTGCAGTGGGTGATATAGAACGGGAACGACACTCCGGAGATATGGATCCTCCACTCGTCGAAGAGGTAGTAAAGGAGATGTTCATTGTGGAGATGGCGAATACCTCGATCACCAACGTCAAACCCGCGGATCAAGTCACCGTTACCGAGTTAATATCGCAGGCTGAACAGATAAACGAAACGCGGCAAGATGTCCGCATGACTCCGCCCCGCGAACTGGATATCTCGTCTCTTGCACCTTCAGTGATAGACGTACGGCATGACATCTTGGTGTCAGATCTTCGTCCACTTGATGAATCCGTATCTCGACCATCGGTGACTTTTGAAACGACACCAGCAGGTGCTGAGCACCCATCCCCAGATCAATCTCGTGGTTCTTCGCCCAATGTCCAAGCCACCATCTCTGTCACTACCACAGAAGTACTTGATCAGGCGACTCAAAACGTCACTCTCGTCCCTCCCAGTCGCTTCCAGTCTGTCTCCCCCGCACGTAAGACAATCGCCGAACGACGCGCAGTCAAGCTGCCCCCTACACCCACACCACTGTCTTCTCCTTTCGCTGGCCGGGTATCGAAGGATTCTTTCCCGACTGCTGACTCCATACAAACCAACACTGATGCAGGCACGGAACCTGCCACTACTGGATTGGACGACGCGGGCAAGATACCTCAAGATGAGATTATCAACGAGCACTCAACAGGAGTCCTTGACCAGTCCTCCACTACATCTCATTTATTAGCCGCTGTCGAGAAACTCCCAAGTTCCGAACCGGCGATCGACAGTATACTGGGTTGGAATACAGCCGCTGCTCCTCTCGGCCCTCTTGTACGAGTGAAGGACCCGGGTGATTGGATTATCCAAGAAGACCCTGTCGATGCACCTCAACTACCATCCGTCGTCCGTTTCTTGCTGGGTGAGGAGATGTCTGCGACGCTTCAATTGTCCAAGCAGACTGCGGAGTATCTGAGGTTGTACGACAAGTGGAAGAAGATCTGGCAGAAGTTAGAGTCTCTGATGGAAGAGAGAGGACCTGCTCCGTCGGATTTATACGACTACCCTCTCCCTGAAGACGAAGAGATTCAACCACTTGCTCCTCTCACCACTCCGCTAGCCGAAGAAGTCTCCCGAGGTAGAGGAGGTCGTGGACTTCGAGGAGAATATATCAATTCTGAAGCTCAACTGAATGCCGTGTTGATGATGTCCGCTGAAGAAGTTGCGAATGATCCTGAAGAACGAGCTCGACATGCGGCGGCCATCATTCCTGACATGCTCTCACCCCCTCGGTATAGGTACGACGACACCAACGATCTGGTTGAAGATCCTTTGGCGTTTTACGATTTCTCCGACACACGTGCACCGGTGTGGACACATGCGGAGCGTGAGACTTTCAGGAAGAAGTTTATCAGTAATTCTCAAGCTGGTAACGCGAAGAATTTCGGAAAGATTGCCGAAGCGATTCCGGATAAAACGCCAAATGAATGTGTGGTATTTTACTATTCGACGAAGAAAGAGGTCGACTATAAACGGCTGAGAGTGGGAGGGGCAAAACGTGTGGTGGAGGCGAAGAAATCTGCAAAGAGTTTGTTAGGAGATATCAATGCTAGCAATCAAAAAGAAAAGGCAAAAGCTTCTTCTGCTCAGACGAAGAATGTTGGCACACCTGTCAAACGACCTGGAACACCAGCTGGAAGACCAATGTCGAGCACGATGGAAATGACCCCTGTTGATAAACCCACCACCGGAGTCACTGGGTCAGGTATGGGAGAGAGGAAAACTCGTGCAGCTCCGAAACGTAGACGAGTGAGCCAAACACCTGATACTCGAGTCTTGACGACTCCTGTGGAGACACCAACTGGTGAGGAACCAGGTTCACCGGCTAGGAGGTCTGGGAAGAAACGTCGTACTACCCTCATCAATCCTCTCCCCCAGAATGTGGAGGTCCAAGATGTCTCAATAGATGAAGGAACACTCATCGCTTCTTCCGTGACTTCTCAAAATACCGAGAAACCAAAGAGAACGACTACAAATTCGTATTGGTCCGTCGAGGAGAAGAAACGGTTAGAGGAATTAGTCGCTATACACGGACCAGATTCGAGGATTGTCGCAGCTGGTTTGACGGGTAAATCTGAAAAACAAGTCTCAAATTTCTTACGTGCCATGAATAAGAAACAAGGAAAGATTTCTTCGTTGAACGGTCAAACTCCACCGATGTCGACCATTCCACTTGCTCCTACCAAACCTACAGGTCCAACATCCGTCACACCTTTACCTCCAATCTCCTCTCACACATCAATACAAGGGATACAAAGAGATGGAATGAATAAATCGGATCAAAGGGGAAGATCAATATATGATATTTATCCTACTACTCAACCTCGTATGGGTATCTTTCCACGACCTCCTTCACATCCTCTCACTCAAACATCCAATCCTACACATTCAACAGTTCCCAATGGTCAATCCAATATCCCAATTTCCACCGAAAGAACCCCTTTGATGTCATCAACACCGACAATATTGGAATCACCAATAAGAGCTGTTTCAAGACCTGGAGGAATGAACATTGCCAATTTGTTAAATGATTCTCCTCCTCCTTCGAGTAAGAAGAATGGTGATGATGAATCTGATACTACGGATGATGATTTACCAGTGTTGCCTAGACCTGATTTGAGTAGGTATAGAAGTCAACCTTTAGGGTATTGGGGTGGGTATACGCAAAGTGGGCAGGGTGGATCTACAGGATTACCTTCAAGTGTACAAGGTGGACAAGAAGGATTGATCGGACAAGGAAGAGATTATAATAAATCACAAACTATACAACATCCTCATCCACCTCCATCTTGGGAAAGACAAGGATTGGCGGGAATTCAACAAGGAAGATCCTCTTCTTTTCAAGGAAATGGAGAAAGATCTTCAATGAACGAATGGAGTTATGGTAGACAAAGACCTTCGATACAGGCTCAATTGGAATCTCAACTTTTACCATATACACGTAATCAATCGTCTCAACCTTCATCTCGACCTTCACCACTTCTTGTTGCTTCTCAGTCACCTCAATTGCCTCGTCAGTCTTTACCTTCAATTCACACGCAACCCTTGGTCAAGCCGGTAGCCCCCGAACGACCTCAAAATCGGTTTGATGAGGCTATACAATCCCGACCTCCTCCGGAGTTGGGACGACCGTCCATAGCACCCGCTGAGGAAACGCAGTGAACAGTTGGAGAAGATTGACACATGCCTCGGTAGTACTCTACTCGCATCTAAGCCTGTCTCTAGCCATATGGAGATCATGCGATGGACATTGTCTCCCGGACTTGAGAGGGTAATCAATCAGTCAGGTTTATCCGATTAGATGAAATCGCAGTTGCTGTCGCTGTACTCCTGTACTCTGGCTCGCAGCGAAGGACTATCAAGTACGTCCGTTTCCGTCCGGGGAAGGATCAGTGATTGCTGCTCGAGGTGAAAGTTTACAGTGAGGATCAAGACGAGAGATTGGATGGGGAATGGTAGAAGTGTGAAAGGAAAGCTGGGCGAGTGAACAAAAAGTGTAGAAAAGATAGGAAGGAAGAAGTGGGTTATCAAGGTTTAAAATCAAGGAAAGAAAGTTGGAAAAGATGTTGTATCGATTCACGCTTGGGTTTCATGGTGAAAATTTAAGGGATGCATGGGTTTAAATTGTCTTGCCATATTTTGACTGTTTTTCGCCTGATTCGATCTCCGCTTTGTTCACTCGCTCATCATGCGATCCGCATAGCGATACAATAATTCTCCTCTGCCTGTCAATGATCAATGACAGAATGTACGTCGGGGGCTGATACTCTGCTTTACGCATTGGTCATGAACAAGAGGATAACATATGAACAGTGGGTACTGATTAGGTAGGAAGGTAAAAATGGAAGAGACGCGTGGTGGAGGTCGGACGGGATCGCGTCGATCGATCGATGAATTTTAGACTTTTCACCTTTTTCTTCTTACCGCCCCATCGCTCTCAAACCCGTCTAACTCAAAGCTGAGAAGCTATCATCAGCCCTCACCAACGGAAATGTCTCTCCCTGACTCTCCCAACTCCCACACTTCGGTATATTCTATCTCCTCCGGCTCATCATACACCCCCGAAAAACCTTCTGCAAGTCGTCCCAATACCGAACCTCGAGCAAGAAGACGGACGATCAATCATGGCATCTCTTCTCATAATGAAGAACGAGGGAAAAGAAAAACGATCGAATCCGACTCTTTGCCCAGTAATAAAAGCCACACGACAAAATCGACCACATGCATTACTTCACATCATGATGAAGGACGAGGAAAGAGGAAATCGAGCGTATTGGTCCAATCCACCTCCAAGAGGAAGAAATCGACCAGCTGTAAATTATCAAACACACACGAAGGAGATGAAGATCTGCAGGATCTGGAGAATAAGAGGAGACATACGAAGGAGTATCATGGTGTTAGAGATGTGAAAGATATGCAGAGAGAGGTATTGGATTGGTTTGATCTGGTAAGGTGAGTTCTGGAAGTAGGTTCATACCTGTATATCAAACATCTCGGTCGGACAGATCTTGATAGGTTTCATAACTTTCAATCAATCTTCGAAATGATCATTAATTTTTGTCAGCCCATCCTTCAAAATTAGTTTCGAACGTCCTCTCTGTATAATGCGAATCGAAGTGGGGCGATTGAATTAATTTCTTGTCTTTTCTTGAGGCGGAAGTATCATAAGGGGGGGGGGGGGGGGGGGGGGGTTAGGAAAACCATGAGGTTGGTCATGAGGGGGGAAAAAAAGTGCTGACGGAAAGGGAAAAAAAAGGAATGCCCTGGAAAAAACCTTTAACAAAAATAAAAAAACCCCCCCAAAAAACAAACAAAGGGGGTCTTCCATTCTCACATACTGTCCCTTGATCATCCCTTTGTCCCCCGATTTTTCTTTTTTCCCAAACCCTATACCCCCCCATACAATGACCGCCCTCCTTACCCAAATCAATCTGTAATTTAATCTGGGGACCGGGCAATCCCAAAAACCAAATTTCCCCTGGTTTGCAAATTTGGGGGGAGCCCTAAATGGAAAAAGAAAAAAAAAATGATTGAAGTTTTTTATTTTCCCAAATCATGTTACAACAAACTCAAGTGAACACTGTGAAAAATTACTGGACAAGATGGATTGAAAAATGCTAGTTGAAAGATCTTGCCCAGGCGGATATCGAGGTAAGTTCTTTATCAGACTCTTCTCACGTCCTTTTCTCAAATAGGAAAACATCCTTGCCATTCACAGTTTACCCTCATCCTTTCGGCCTCGAAGTGGCGCTCAGAGGACGGGGGTGTAACCCTATATATCTGTCTGAGGGAAAGCTGATTCGTAGGAAGTAAACGCAGCATGGCGTGCGTATTTGACAATCCTTGGTTCATACCCTCACACACAGGAGGCTTGGGGTACTATCGTCGAGCTAGGAGTTTATTGGCCGGGGCGAAATCTGTCGTTGCTAAATTTGATGGTGAGTCGAATTAACACCTACCCAACCGATATTCAGGCTCGTATTTTTGAGGCCACCAATGAATCGCAGTCAATGAATCAAAACCAACGGAAGTCCTTGAGGGAGCTGATTATGACAGGTAAACTTCCAGAAGACCCTCAAGTGTTAGAGAAAGAAGTAGAAGGTGTTGGACGTTATACAGCCGGAGCTATCACTTCCATGGCGTACGGAGTTCGGACACCTATAGTTTGTTGCAAATTCATTCATTCAATCCAATCACATCGTTTCCATGTGTCATTATCGTGCTCACGCCTTCAACGACACTATACAATAACATTGCAGAGCCTGCTGTGCAGGGAGCGACTTCACTGACTACAGGTTGATGGTAACATACATCGTCTTCTCACTCGTCTCCTTGCTGTTCACGCCCCTCAAACCACCCCGGCTACTCTGAAATTCCTCTGGGCAGCAGCGGATGATCTCGTTCAAGGCTTACCTCAAGAAGAAGGTGTGGCTGGAAATTGGAACCAAGTGAGTTTTCTCTTGTTTTTGGACTATTCATGTATCAATCAGTTGACGGGAAGGCTTTGATGGAACTCGGTAGTCAAGTTTGTAAACCTGTCAATCCGGATTGTGCGGTTTGTCCATTGAAAAGTGTTTGTAATGCATATGCCGAAGTGAGTCTTCATCATCCCTCTTTACCTTACATACACCCTTCACTACCACTCATGTTCATCGTTTCGCTATGAGCTTCACCGTATTGATCACCATCGATCGATATATTGAAGGATGAAGATGACTCGTGGAGAAAGGATATTTCAAGAAGCTAAAAGATTCAGCTTTCTTCAACACCGCCAACACCTCGACCTGATGAGAAAACATGTACTCTCTGTGTACCCATACCTGACTCGAATGGAGGAAATATACCCAGTGTGACGATATTTCCCATGCGGAAAGATAAGAAGGTATCTAGAGAAGAAGAAGAGGTTGTGAGCATTGTAGAATGGTCTGGTTTGGGTGAACGGAGATGGTTATTGGTCAAGAGACCAGAGACCGGTGAGTGGTTTCATGTTGTCAAACATCCCTCTCTATATCCCTCTTGTCCACACGATCATCACAACCGATTTTTCGAAGTCTTGTCCTTACTCCTCCTTATCCACCCTCACTAAGCCTCATGACGCGCACACCTCTATCTAGCGCTTCATTCCCTTCTTTCCCTTCGACCGGTACGGACAATCCCGCTTGGACAGTTTGCAGTTGCGTGATTTATTCGACATGTCTTCAGAACCTATCACATAAATGTGAGATCCGAAACTGATGTCAGGTCTTCTAGCGGGGTTGTACGAACCCCCTTCTTGTTCCATACCTCCTGGTTCCAGTGTAGAAGATCGACATTCCATCGCTGTGGAACATCTTCGTAGTATCATCGATTTGACCGGGACGACAATGGTCAGTAGAGAAGTCGGATCGGTACCACATATCTTCAGTCATATCAATATGACTTATCACGTTCTCCATTTCACAACATCCTCTTTGACCACAGAATCGTCAGTTATGACGAAAACACAAATATCTTCTCAGACTCAAGTACCAGTGGACATATCTTTGAAGGATCCAATGATGAAAAATGAGAATTTGTCAATGGGAAAGACGGTTGCTCGAGTCTCAGAAGGACACGCGGAATGTCCAGCGGTGAAAACGTCGGATAGATCCGTTCTATGGTTAGATGAGAAAGGAGTTGAAGGTGCCAACGTTAGTACTGGAGTGAAGAAAGTCTGGGCGGCGGCATTTGGTCAATGGGGTTGTTTCTCTTCTTCTGGTCCCGAGACACAAAGTGGAAAGAGGAAGAAAGTGAAGTCGAAGATTGGAACGAAGAGGGATGAGATGATTTCAAAGGAGAAGGTGAAGATTGTGAGAAAAGTCATGATGCCTCTTATGCCCAAAGAAGTATGATCTTGCTTGTTCTATCTTATCTTGCTTTTTGTACTTTTGGATGATCTTTTAGTTGCCAGTGGATGCGATGTCCTGTACCAGGGGTATGAATAAATCCACTCGTGATGACAAGTCTGAGCCAAGAATACCAAGCCCAAGGAACGTTTTCAGGGTGGTGATCGTAACCACGCGACGTCTCCGCCGGAGAAAGCTGTGTATTTCTGTCTCTCTCTCTTTCTAACCGTGACTGTCCATAATATCAACAGGATCTCTCTTTTTCCAAAGTCCCACAAATATCCAAGTGGATCGCTAAGGAGGGAACGCTGTTGAGATCACCTCGTGATCACCCTTTGAGCATTTGAACACGGGACTAGCTTCAAAGGAGCCGAAAGAAACGGGTCATTGCTCCTCTCCAATATCCCTCTCTTGTCATAAAAAGCTTCAATTGCGACTTTGTCGACCTACGCGGTCTACACAAGATTCCAACTTAAGTAGAGGTCGAGACTACCGTCGCCTATCGACCAGACCACCCGTGTTAGCTCAGAGGGAGGATCAGGAGAAAGTCACAATTCGACTAGACGGTCGCACGGGTGAACGATCAAACGAAAATACAATGTGGGATGGATTATCAAATTTTGGTTGGAGTTGGAGTTGGGGTAAGAATAAAGGACAAGATTATGTTCCTATGACCAATAGAGATAGATCTTCAGTGAGTGGATTCATTGAATGTAAATCTTTTAAACTTCATCTCCGACTTTTCCGTTCATAATTAACTTGGTGTCACCTCCTTCAGCTCTTGATTGATACATGATCAATTACTACATTTGGGATTCCTTCGTCTTATTTCATTCTTTAACATGTTCACAAAAATATACTCGGCCACTATATTTGAATAAGAAGTTTATAATGTTTATTGCATGACATATCATATTAGTACATGTCAGGTATACCTATCACTAATTCCCAGTCATATAAATTTTCAATCATCAAATTCCTTCCTTCTATCTTACTTTTAACAATAGGTGTTCTGATAGGTTCACAACATCCATATTACCTTTCTATTTATTCACGTCGTTCTTCAATCCCTATATCTTATTTACCTAGATCATTACCACCACCACCAGATACAAAAATCCCACCTTCTTCATCACTTCCAATACCATTAGAACCTATACCTAATTTAGTACATTATGTCTATGGTTTAGCACCTACACAAGAAGAATTCCCTTATTTCGCTTATCTGGCAATGAGGAGCGCTTTGCAAGTTTTAAAACCGGAAAAAGTCTTGTTTCATTGTTTGAATGAACCTAGGGGTTATTGGTGGGATAGAGTGAGAGGTTGGGAAGGGTGGATTGATGAAGGAGGTGAGAAAAAAGGTTTGGTAGAGGTCGTTAAAGCTAGAGATGTGGAGTGGATTGGGAAAGATCAAAAACCTGTTAAACATGTAAGTCAATAAACAGTTTGGTTTTGTACTTGATTCGACATGTTCTCAACTCCAAATCTCCCTCTGTCATCTTCACTTTTCTTCGATAGAACCACTTCATGAATCTTTCCAAGTTTCAGTTCTCGCGACTTCTGCACCGGTGGAAAGACATCTCCCTTGAAGTGTGACGTTTCTTGTCTGATTGAGTCCGAAATCGAAGATGGGGTATCAGAAATGGTGGGATAGCTGATTGTTAGTACGCGCATAAAGCGGATATCATAAGATTAGAAGTGTACGTGTTTTGTCCATCCTTTACTCCGATATCTCGCATCCCTTCTAGCTCGCTCAATCTTTATTGTCGACGTCTTCCCCTTCTCTATCTACAGTCCATAATCTCACTACTCATCCTCTCTTCATCCTCCACCTTCTACTCATAAACCTTACACACCTCCATCGAAATCTTCACTCCTCAATGTGAACATCTTCGCTTTTGAGCATACCAACCCAAAAAAAAACCATCCCGACCCACCCCTTCCTCAGTTCTCTTTGCAACAGCAGCAATTTTCAGTCAAAGTAACAAACTCATATCAGATTACTCGAATACGGAGGAATATACCTAGACATAGATACTTTCATCCTTCGTCCTTTCATCCCACATTCTTTATTACTTCACGATACAATAATGGCACTCGAAGCTCATTCCCTTTCTTTCCTACGTCCTCTTCATTCAGATGATGAAATGTCTCCAAAAGGTTTATGTAACGCAATCATCATTTCTAGAAAACAATCAATTTTCTTAAAACGTTGGTTGGAAAGTTATGACGAGTTCAACGAAAATAAATGGACCGAACATTCCGTTGAAATGCCATGGACTTTAGCGAGATTATATCCTACTACTATAACTGTATTATCTGAAAGAACTTTTTTTTGGCCTTTATGGACGGATGATCATATTTATTCAGTTTATGAAACAAAGGAATATGATTTTGAAAAATCTGGTCAACTTGCGTGAGTCGTTCATTTCTCTTCATACATTCTTTATTCTTTTGGTGATTCTTCTCTTTTCTGAATGTTTCCTTACTCTCCTCACGTTTCCTTTCGTCTTACGCTCCTCAGGTTTCTCTGATAGCCTAAGACCTCCCTTCTCTCATAATTTAATCCAAGGATTATCGAGATACACAAGAAGGTGAGACAGTACTTGACAATGTGTTTGAAGGAGAGGTCGAGGGGGGAAAATCATGATTTCACTGACGACCAGATATCACGCATGGGAATCAATGGCAAAATCTCATTTATCAACCCTGAACCCTCATACTATATCGACCATTGATACTTCTTTCACCAGGATGGCAAGACGATATCGTGAACCAGACGAAGAGAGACGATGGCTGGCTCATCTGGCTCGAGAGGAAGGTAAAATGGAAGAAGATTATGACAAGAGGGAGTATTCACATCGGACGAAGAGGGTATATCAGGGGGAGAACATGACATACTGAGTGTAGTAGTAGTAAAAGTTGCATCGTTCTTTTCATCTGTTCCCTCGTCTTTAAAAATTATTTTCCTAAGCTACTCGTCATACCTCAGAGTGTACGTCTGTCGTTATCACAATATTGAACCAGCCCTATCATCCTTGCCAAATATTTAACCGTTCGAGGCTTCAGTCATACTTTGCCAAGAGAGTCTAGGATGATAATGGAGGATATGTGAAGAACAAATATCAATGTCATTTGTCGTGCATGTGTCATGGAGATGTACTCTACTCTACATAAATTGCGATTGGGCTAAAGACGTTAATCATGTTTGAACGAAGAGTCCGATGCTATTTAATGTCTATTGATCTATTTACAAACCTTCAGTGAGCTGATCCACTGGCATGCCGTCCCAACAAATATGATACACCTTGTCAAATAAGGGATAGGCGCCTAATCTTCCGTGTGATTTTAGAAAATGATGAATCTCTTTTGCCTGTTTGTTAGATTTACTTAAACCCATTCTCGAATTTCGACTAACAGTGTGAATACCCTGCAGCTCTGTACCATCAGCTCCGTCCATGCTACCAATCCATCATACATTCAAGCGATCAGAAGGGGTTCCGAGAAGAAAGACTCACTTTGTCCATTCAACATCTCTTGCTCAAGAACATCGAAAGGCTGCTTGGTGAGTGACAGATTTACACGTCAGAAGAGCGCAGAAGAGTTGCTTACTTTCTTCTGGGTAACAAATGCCGAAGCTACTTTGAAATTTCTACCACCCATACCTACCCGTCAGCTGAACCAAAAGATGACGTAAAGGGGGAGGGGGTGACTGACAAGAAGTGATCACATCTGCTACTCCCGCGCTCTCCGCCAGAAATGTGCCATCTTTGACATCCTTGAAGAATTCCTGACAAAAGTGTTTCATTTCGAGTAAACCTATACGCATGATGGCGGCTGACCATCAACTTGACACCTTGCTTGATAGTGATGTATGGGGAGCAGGACGGACCTTTCGAGTTATTGCCGTATCCCAATCCATCGACGATACCAGCGGCGACAGCAACAATGTTTTTCAACGCTCCGCAGAGACTTACTCCAGCCACCTGGGTGTCAGATGAGGCCCTTCTTTATCGGCGATCTCGGAAAGATTATACTACCAAAATCAAAGACCAAGGGAAGAGGATGACATGGCATTTTGAAAGACGCTGATATATGGGGACGGGTTGACGACAGAACTAAGAAAAGACGGAAGAATGGGACACGTACATCATCGATTAGATGAACCTTGAAACTGGGTGTTTCTGCTATTCAGCTCCATGCTACGGACAAATCGCATAGCGCAGCTGACCGAATAATTTTTTCCACATCTCCCCATCTTCTTTCTTTCTATACCCTATGGTAGTCTCGGAAAACCTATCGATAGCCACTTCACTAGCGATGTTCGCCCCACTCAATGCTGAACATGATATACCGAGTTGACTTTCGATGACATCGGCGAATATCCTGATATCATTTCCGTGTACTTCTACGCCCTGAGTGTCAGCATCTGCGAGGCGTCACCCAAATTCAGCTTCACTTTTACCCCTCAGCGGGCCCTCGGAGGTTAGCAGAGAAGACGAGAGTGACTCACTTTGATCAATGAAATAGCTTTGATACCGTGGTCAACATGACCTTTCAGACCCTCGAGTATCTTAGGGAAGACTGATAATCAGTCAAAGTCCCTCACATGACAGTTCCGAACTACAACTCGACCGAGTGTGCCAGACGCAGAGCAGAGAATGGAAATCATCTATCAAGAGAGCGTTGAAAGGCAGCAGGATCTGGTGTAGGGGGAGGAAGAAGAGTGAGTAAAGTGGGGACCTACATTGATGAGGCATGACGAAAACTAAAGCCGTAGCACCTTTCACCGCCTCCACCAGATCTGGGATAGCTACCACGTTACTTGGTAATTCCACATCGGGCAAATATTTCTTATTGATATGTGTGGTGTTGATGATTTCCGTCAATTTCTGTCCTTCAAACTGGCCGTCAGTCATTCTAGCCTACATTTACATTTCGAAGAAGACCTGTGGAGCAAGATCGCGTCGTGGAAACCCACCTCCTCTTCATACACCCAGATTGGTACCCTTTCCTCAAAGACATTACCATGTTTGAGAACATTCTTCCCTGCTTGTCTAGCTATCGCAGAGCCCCTGAATGTCAGTACAGACATGATGAGCTGACGAAACTGGGGAAGAAGATACTGACCAGTTACCAGAACCTATGATAGCCACTCTCTCTTTGGACATGATGACCCCCCGATGTGAGCTTTTGAGAAGTGGGGTGGTCTGGAGTGTGCGAGTGAGGTGGGGGATCACGAGAGAGGAGAGTGAGCAGCTGTAGCGGGCTCTACTCAGACGCTTCAGAGATAAGAAGATGAGTGAGGACGTGTTGAGGTATGGGGTGGGGTTGGTTAGAGATGGTGAGATGGCGATGGGGATAATCTAGTCAACCTACTCTGGCCCATGGGGGTAGAATGTCTCACCCCATGTCGATTGCTTTCCCACGGTTGACCCTCCCCCACCCAGACTGCTCCCTGGAGTAGGAGTACGAGTACTCTACTCGTGCATGGTGCAGAAGAGCATGGCAGCGAGGGTATCAGCATGGCCGCAGCATGCAAGAGGGGACTGACAAAGACGACAAGCTTGATGCATCATACAATCCCATTCAAAATTACCAACTCCCTCTCACACAAACACACCATCACTCTCTTCCCCTTGACCAACATCATCCCCACACCCAGTAACGCTCCTCTCTCTCCTCCACTGACAGTCATCACACCCTGTCTCGCCATCGTCTTGGAAGAGGGTGGATAATACATGTATACGTTCCCTCTGCCAGCCACTGACGTCCCAGCATCAAACGCCAACACCGTCGTCCCTTTCTCCCAAACCTTTGCTCCGCTTCGAAGTGATCGAGTGGATGACGTTGGATGTACAGCAGGAACATGTCGAACCATTCGAAGATCCGTTTTGCTGGACAAGACGAAAGCCAAAGCAGGAACTGTAGTTTCATGTTTCCAACTTGATCCTATAGGGTCTTCCCCACTCGTCACCGGTGAGAACAGTAAACCGTCAACAGCTGATTTAACGATAATTCCTAAATTTCCCCCTTCTTGATCATTTGAGCTCGGTAAAGGTGTGGAGAGTATGGAAATTGGAGCTTTGGACCATTTCGTTTTCCCGTCCTTGATATATCCCATCAAAACATCACGCCCTACTTTACCCATGGAACCTTTTCCGAACATTCCTTCTGGACCTTCTTCCTCTCCATCCTCCAAGTCGAAATCCATCTCTTCGCTCAATAAAGCAGGTACTGCAGGATGTCTACCTTCTGGATCACCTTCACGAGTTTTGATTTGAGAAAACGTTTCTCTCACAGCTGCTAATCGACTTGCGGAGAAAGTTTCTGGTACTTCGGAATATACATCTTCTTCATCTGGAACGAAAATGGATGGCCAATGAGTGTTGACATCTTCTTTCTCTAAAAACAGTTCCAGTTTACAGATAGAAGGATCGTAGGTGAAAGATGAAGTTTTGATGGGTGTCCAGAATGGACGTTCGGAGCGAGTCAAAAATTCGGCTAGGGGTGGTGGTAGAGGTGATTCTGGAGGATCGGTAGGTGTATAAGCGAGGTCGAGATGTGTTGAAGATGTTGATATGGTGAGATCTGAGCGGGAGGTCCCGGGTGGGAATGTGAATGTCACAGTTAATGATTCTCCGTCTTGCGTCCATGAATATGGCTGAGAGATATCCTCGGGAATGTCCACATCCATCTTGTCAACCTTCGTGCTTTCTTCGCTATCGTTTATGGGGCGAGAAAATGTAGCTCCGAGACCGAGTTTTGTCTTTGCTATTGATCTTTCTCTTTCTATTCGTTCCTCTTCGGTCTCCTCTTCTTCCTCCACAGCATGTTCAAATTCCTCTTCAGAGAAAATGAGCCATCCTCCCTCGTACCAGCCACACCAATATGGTACATCACCACCTTGTAATCTCCACATAACTTGCAACTCCTCCATCCCTTGGTCAATCTCATTTTGGCGAGTCAGGTCTATTGACACTTCCAGTAATTCGAAAACTTTGGCTTGAGATCGAGGCTTGATATCTCCAGGTAGAGGTAGCGTTCTGGATACCAGTAGTCTAGCTTCGGTAGTGGTGTAAAGGTGTGCGGCGCGAAGAAGGAACGGTACCGAGAAAGAGTCCGTGGAGGTTGATGGGAAATCGTATCGCGCTATAAAACGTCCCTTAAATGGCTCTCCAAGCGGGGTACTTTGTAGGAGGTATAAAGATCCCTGTCCTGTCGCTATAGCCCAGTGACGGTCGTCAAGAGGAAGAACAGATGGGTATTCAGGTTGAAATTCTAAAAGCTCGGAGCCGACTGGAGTGGGAAGTTCTCCTAGTTTCTCGAAGATAGAACGGAGATCATCCTACTGTCAGTACGATCAGAGCACTGAACGATGCTTGATCTTCAGACCTTCGAAGAGATCGGAATCACTACACTTATGGGATGATATGTAAACTTAGACAAAAAAGTACGAAGATGAAGCCGAGGAGGGGGTGGGAGGGATGGGAGTAGGATACGAGAAACGTGACATACGTCAAGTGTAAAACCCCATATATTCCAATCAGCATCCACATAAACACCTCTACCTTCCGGTCCAATGGATAGATGATCCCATGAGATACGAGAACGTACTTCTTTAAAGCTCAGATGATTGGCATGATATCCTACGCGGGATTGAGTGGCCGGGCCAGGAAGGGGAAAAGATGAAGTATCGGTGGAAGAATCGATAGAGTCAAGACGGTATGTTTCGAACTGAGGATAAAGCAGGGCTCTGTTCGGAGGAAATGAATAAGACATTGTCTGACTTTGTACCAAGAATGGACACGGTTTAGAGTGATGAGAAAGATGAGAAGCAAAGGTGGAGGAAGTGAAAACGGAGTGGAGATTTCTTTTCCTTCATTTCAACTTTGTTCTTTTTCCTCTTAATTTCACATCAGCCAAACCACTCAGAAGGTCGCAGATTAAAACTTCTAGTAGACCTGGTGCCCATACTTCCGTGACCGGTGGGATACGTAACTCGTAAGGGTAGGTACTACTTCTCGCCAAAGACTTATGGTAGGCTGACATGAATAGCAAAACAAACACATGTTTATATAAAAATGACCCTCGTCCCTTCTCTTCCCCCTCCTCTGATATTATCTCATAACGAAACACTCCATGCTATACCCTTACCTCCCTTGGCACAATTCCTCACTTCACTCACTCGACCAGAACATCTCGTCAAGCTCAATGATATACTAGAAAGATTCCGAACTCCAAAGTCATACCACCGTATCGATGTGAGAGAAGTGACAAGTTCTGAGCTGCCTCCGAGTAGTCCGATAGATGCTGAACATGCTTCTCTACGTGAGGAGAACCTATCACGTCGGAAGAATGGGGCTACTGCGAAGAAGAATGGCATGAAAGTTCAAACGAAGGAAACAGACGAGAGTAAAAGAGAAAAAGGAGAACCTATCGTTTTACCGGAGGGGATAACAGTGGAAGAATACAAGAAGACTCATCAAACTTCTACACATACACATTTAGGTCACCAGAATGGTGACGGAGAAACCAATGGATCTGGAGAAAAAAATGGTTTGATGATGGAAGATCAAGCGGGACCATCTAGACAATACATATCATCTACTCATCCTCACCCTCCGATATCTGTATCACAACCTGTCATCCCTGATTCAAATCCTCTCACAGATACAAACAAGACCTCGCCAAATCATCTCTTACCTCCTTCCGGACCCAAAAGACGTATTCGTGAACTTCGTCTTGATATCAGGTCACTTGACGCTGCCGCTTTATTCACTTTGGAAGGATGGAGACGAGAAATCTTAGGTTTGGAAAAATTAGATATGGAAGTTCCTGATAGTATATGGTATAAAGCTTCTTCTCCTTCGCCTCCTCCTTCCCCGCCTCCACCACCACCAATGGCAAAACGACGACTCGGTCGACCAAAAAAATCACAATCTCGACCGAAAGATACATCAAATATCATTTCTCCCACTAAGAACAGGGAAGAACTGAGTGAAAGTCAAAAGAAAGAATACGACGATTTAATTGCGTCTCTATCAAATTCAGCTGTCCCAGAAGAAGAAGAAGGTATGATCGAAGATGATACTCTTCAAAAAGCATTGGAAGAGTTGGCAAGATCAGAAGCGAACGAGATACAACCTGAACCTGAACCGGAGGATGAGGAGACACGAATGAAGAGGATGAAAGCTACCGAGCAGGCCTTTGAAAATGAAGGAGAATCGGAGAAGAGTGAAAGTCCAGATATCATATTGAATGATTTACATGATTCTTTGGAATCTGCAGATCCGGATTTTATACCTCCTTCATCCATTTCAAATCCTTCACCGACAAAACCTAATTCGAAGGTGACACGACGAAGTAGGACGTCCGATCCGGGAATGACAGTGGAAGATGTACCGGGGAAAAGGAGTAAAAGGACCAGATTATCTCTGCCGAATTTGAAAACAGTCCCCGATCTGACGGAGGACGTCGCAGTCGCCGAAAGCGAGACTGCTCGGGAAAAGAGAAGGAGGAGGAGAACGACGGATGGGGGAAATCAAGGAGATCAGGAAACAGAAAATCAGGAGAGAGAAGAGGAGGAACTCGTAAAGAGAAAACGAAGATCGACAGCCGTGGTAGAACTCGATATGGTTGATACGGAAAAGCAAGCTCAAAAGAGACAAGTACATTTCTCCGAAAGTGCTGTTGCGCATACACCATCACCACGAGAATCAAGGGACGAAGTGGAGCTGGACAACGGGGAGGAAGAGGACGAATGGGACATGTTCAGATATATTTGAAAGGATGTTTCACGGTCATTTTGGGATTAGAGGTATCAGTGGGGGGAGAAAAGGGATGCATAGGGGTTGTCATGATGACTGGTGAACAGCTACAAAGATAGAGACTGATTATACTACTTCCAGACTGACCAATGTCGTATATCCAGGGAGGCGACGAAGGGGAGGAAAGACTAGCAATCGAGAAGATGATTAGGGATGAACGAAAAGTGGAGAGTAAATCAGGGTATGCTGTGAGAAAGAGAGTGACCATGGACAATCGATGATATACCGGAATGGGGAATAGCTACACCAGCCTGACAAGAATAGAATGGATCAAGATAAGAAAGAATGTCAAGTCGAGATTGAAGGAGTAAACCCGAAAGGTCGATCGACAACCTTTTTTCAAGCCAAACCCATTTCCGACAAAGCTTTTTCCATTTCACCAGGTCTCAACCATTCTCCTTCATCTCCTTCACGTTTCCAAGGTGTTGGTACTCTTCCCTTATTGAGAGTATATCCACTACCTTCACTTCCCCTTGGAGGTGCTGCCAATGGAGTTTCCCTCATCTCGTCAAAGTCTGCGAAATCTTCCGCTGGGTTGGGAGTGAGGATGATGGGTAGGTCATCATTCGTGAAAGGATCTTTGAAGATTGTCTCTCCGACATGTTCAACTTGACCAACTGGCTCCTCCAACTCAGTCCGAGTCAAGTTTTCTTGACTAAGAGGATTCTGTAAACCCGTACGATACAAACATCCTGTGGAGGGATACGAAGCTCTTGCCAATTGTGATGGATAAGAATTATGTGGACTCGAAAGTTGACTCGCCCTCCTATTCTGAGGACTTTGATTTGGCCCGACAACAGGGGATGTGAGCCAAGTCGGAATAGCGCCTACGATAGGTGAAGGTATCGAATTTTTCCTACCTCCTTTCAAAGCTGAAATAAGTTGAGGTCTTCCTAAACCAATCAAACTACCACTACGCAATTTATCTCTACCAATTGATCCATCTTCTCCAAGTGACGACAAATCAGGTCGAACAGTATGAATATCCGATACAAGGAATGTGGTATCGCCTTCGGTATCGGTTTCGTTCAACGCTACGATAGCACCATCAGGAATCGAAGGAAGTGGAGGTAAATCAATTTTCATACTTGGTTTCCTTCTTCTTTCCGGGATTTCAGGTACTTGTTTGATACTGTTCATTTTCGGTGATGATGATTCCTTTTCAGGATTGAGAGGAGAAGGAAGAGATATTATTTCTAATCCTTGTAAAGGTATCATTTTAGCATTTGTTGGAGGTGAATGAATTGGGATTTTAGGTATAGCAGGTGCGAATCCTACTGAAGGTCTACGACAACGATGTTCAGCTATACTTCCTCTTGAAAATATAGGATTAGGTAAAGAACCTTTACGAAAATCATCTTCTGTCAATTTAGGAGAAGAATGAGGAGAAGCGTGAGAAAAGCTTTGAGAAAGAGGTTTTTGTTGACGACCAGGTGTGAGATTTGGACTCGAAGAGAAAGATGGACTTTGAGGAACAAGTGGTGAGATTATACGTCCAGGTGTAGGAGATCCAGCTCCTGAGAGGACCTGTGAGGGGAGACGTTTCGTAGGTGTGGTAGGCGCTCCGGGAGATGTTCCAGTTGGAATATGAGTCGATCGAGGGGAAAGAGGAGGATCGATACAAGGAGAAGATCGATTAAGAGGTGGGGAGGAATTAGAAGTTGAGATAAAATGAGAGTTTGACACGCGAGGGATGGTATGCATGTATTTCGATGGCGAAGGAGGTTTGAGAGAAGGAGAAGAGTTGGTCGAAGGTGATCCCATAACCTTGGGAGATGATCCGATGTTGGTGGTATTGCCGATCTTGGGGGAAGAGGTTTTGGTCACGTTGGGGAAAGGCATGTTGATATCGAAGATTTATTAGAGGAGAGATGGCAAAGATCGGATTATAGAAGATTAAAAGTCAGCCTTAAGATAAAAATCGAAAATCGCAAGTATTCACGAAATGCTAGTGATTATCGTTACGAATGGAAAAGAAAACTGGGATGATGGTGAGAAGAAGGGAGGACGGAGACAGAGTTGGTACTCACTAAATTATAAGGTGATCTCAACTAGAGTATGTATTATAGGATGTGTCAGGAGAAGATTAGTCGGATTATAGTTCTGTGATATGGGTTTGTGCGGATCGGATCGGTCTCACTAGGAGGACTGAAAGGATTGATGGAAGTGTTGGTTGGTATTATTAGTGACTGTAAGAGTGGTATCTGTCAAACAAATGATTCTTACTTATACCTCTCTCACTTTTCACCGTTTAATCTCCCCGTGGGACTCCACCAAACGTACTCGTTTGTCTTTGTTCCATAGCGTCCGATGTGACCAGAAGCGATGTTCTCTCTTAGACCCAAACCGTTTTTTGACCCATTGCGGTCTACCGCCACGTTCGTCCATATTGATCGTGGGTGCCACTAAAACTCTGATTCGTCCAAAAATGCTGAACCGCCACATTGATGCGGAATATCCGGAAGCGTGAAATCCCGACTTTGAACCCCTCCGGACCATTTGTTTACCTAAACAATCCCATCGTTGAATTCCTCCACCTCAGACGTCCACTTTGTACAAGCTACTAACCTTTACTCGTCCGTTTCCATACTCGTCCCATATGGCTTCACCTCCTGCTTCCCTCGCTTCCCTTCTAGCTATACCTGATCAGAACGGGACCAACGGATCAGTTCAAGATGTTGATCCTCATGCGGAAGAAGGTACCGAAAATGCCATTTTGAATTGTGAGTTATCCCCATCAATCCTTCCCTCTCTCGTCTTTCCTCAAGTCTTGATCTTCTCAGGATGGTGGTACCGGAGTAAATGAGGCATTTCAGTTTTTCTTTTGAAAGATACTCTACTTACGTAAAGACCTTTCTGAAACTTATGCAAATTCTCATGAAGATATACCACCAACACCTTCATTCCGACTTTCAGCTCATACGCAAAATATCCTCGATGCTCATATTACTCATCCGCCTCGAGCAGTAAGAGAGACTTCACCACTGAACCCCACTTTTACTATCCCTCCTGAGATCGCTGAGCTCGCTTCGAGGGCAACACCAGTCATAAATGTGGAAGAACCTACACAGGAGATTTCTGTACAGACACAATGGTCGGATGTGGCGGAAAGAGGGGAGATGGGAGGTAAACGAAAGAAACAACCTCATGAGAGAGCGGGATGGAAGGAAATGGATGAAAGTGATGGTTATCATAGAAAGAGAACGAGGAGGAAGAAGGAAGAGGAGGGAATTTTCGTAACGGAAGGTTCGCAAGAGGAGGGGATTTTGGCAATCGGACCGGGGACGGGTGATGAGGCGGAGGGTTCGAAATCGAAGTGGGTCTTTCTGGAGACCTTCGAAAACAAATCTCTCCCTCCTTCTGTTTCCCCTCACTCCTTCACTTCCAGTCCGGAACGTGAACTGTGTTATCCATAATCACGTCCCCACATCCCATGCTCGCGATACCCTTCGTTGACTACTTCCCGTCACGTTACACCCTTCAAGCTTTGTGTCCCTCAGACAAGAAATGTAGATTAGTGACTTAGTGACATTCGTGTCTGGATCCACATAATCCGTCCATGACGCGAGCTGATGCTTAGCTCAAAACTGACCCGTGCGGAACAAAACCGTCGAGCTCAACAAGCTTTCCGACGTCGGCGGGAAGAACATGTCAAAAGCCTCGAAGCTGAAATCAAGTCTCTCCAGACCTCACAAGCGAGGATGGATGAAACGCAAAGTAAACTGAAAGAAGTCGCTCTCGTAAGTCACCCCTTCCCTCATTCATCTCTTAGTGAGACTGACAGGTAGTCGTACGAATCCGCAATGGTGGAACGTGCCGCACTACGTCGAGCCCTTTCAACACTTTCACAGCGTACCCGAACATCTTTCCTCACTCCGTCCGGAGAACTTTCACTCAACCCGTTGACAGAGATCAGAAGAGGAGAAGATAGTCCGAGGGCACAGGAAGAGGCCTTTGGGTTATTGGAAAGACAATGCAGGGAAGTGGTGAAGGCTCGACGGATCGGACGGGTAGAGGATGAAGAGCATGTGTAAGGTTCACTTGGGTGGTTTCATACGGGAACATTGTGTATAAGTATGTAAGTTATGTGAACTCCATGTTGGTTTCCTAAAGAAGGTCTATGTATGATTTGGGAGCTGTCACAAGGTCAGTTTGTGCAAAACCTGTGTCACTAAGAACTTGATGGTCCATATGAGCCGCTTGATCAAGGTACTTTGTGAAGAAATGTTGGCTGTGTAGATGATTATGATAACAATATGGAGCGATTGTGTCCGGGGGATGAGAAAGTGAATGAAAAATGACAGCTGTCTTGAAGGAATTAGAATGTTAACAATACCCAGAGTATGATACATCCTTTTGATCTATATCCTCTGGGTACACTTTGGGACTATGCTGCTATGAGCAATGATTGACAAGCAGGTCTTTCAACAAGTCTTCAAATAATGTCACTCTGCTTCTAGCCTATAAAGTCCTAATTACAACTCATGGCATTCTTCTAAGGTGAGGACACTGCAGGAGTAGTCTTCTCCACACCAGCTACCACATCAGCTACCACATATCCCGCCTTGACCCACTGGTCGTATGCCGGTGAATACAATGAATCAAGTCGTGATTTTGTCTCATATGTGAGTTCACCATCAGGCTGTTCTCTGTTGAACCTTGCAATTGCTTTATGATCAAGCATACATGGGCATCCATCCCGGGATATGATCCTCACTGTTCCAGTGCTTGGATTTGCCAAACGGGAACGGCACATAGCGCCCTTGTGTATTGGTAGCAGAAATGAAGCTGGCCTCAAGGATTGGATACTCTGCTATGTGTCGGAACGTAAAGCTTGCAAGATCACTGAAGTCTTCTGACCATAGACAGAGTGTTCTGAATAGTGGTAAGTGTGAAGAAATTTGAGATGCCATGTTCAACTCACCAACTTCAGTAGGGCTACCAAAAGAGGTGGCTGACAACTCCTCAGGGCTTATCCCTTCCCCTGCAACCGGCAGAGCTTGTCCTTCCTCTTGAGACTGACTTTTATGACCCTCAGGTCTTGTGGTATCATTCATAGACACAACGGCTTCCCCCTCCCTCCCATACACGCTGAGCAGAGACTCCTGACAAGGAACTGTGAACCACTGAGACCCTAATTTGGTAGTGAGCTGGATTTCCATCACTGTCTTTTTGTTTACCTCCCTTATGCGAGAGTCATCAATTGTATAGCTTTTTTCTTGGCCATACAGCACTTCAATAGTGTGGAATTCTTCCTGAAGGGCTGATCTCAGTGTCACTCATTCATCAGGTGACTTACTCTCTTCATTGTGAATGTCATCTTTGGTGCTCATTGTGAAGCAAAGTGTTGACACGAGTCTGGTATGAAGCCCATCTTACTACATAAGAGGGGTATTTATATTTTGACCATAGAGCAGTGCTTGGGGAAACCTCTCACGGTCATTCCTCAAACACCTCCGCCAGAAGGGCAATGAGGGAGGGTCATCCAATTGGGATTTTCGTCATCGTCGACTGATTGAGGCGATGATCTTCCAAAGAGGCCATGAATTGCACTTGAACCAACGCTATGATTCATATCTGATTGTAAAAGGAGGAAAGCTGTGACCTTAAGAGATAGAAGGGAAAGTGGGAAAGAAATTTGCGTTCGGAAGGCTTCCGTGCGACGAGGAGGCTCGAGCGTTTGACTCGTACGTCACGCATGTTTGCTGATAATTAGATGGTAATACAGAGGGGAAAAAGAGCATGCATCAATTCTACATGTCTCTATGCTTATCACATTCCACTCACACGCATAAAACCAGAGACGATCGAATAAAGTTCAGAGGATAAGTTGAACGGAGAAATATTCGACGGAAGGGGTAATTATCTAACGGCGGTTCGGCCGTCCTGGCCCGATTCTATCGGCTAACACTCGCGAATTAGAGTTATGATCGCACGATCCCTCACCATCGTCTTCATCGGAGGACTCCCCCAGGGTATCAACGAATTGTCTGAGGTCTGTGAAAGCGGATTCTTGATCAGTCTGTGGCATACGTACTTGCAGATATATGCAGGGAGGTGTAGGATCGATAAAATATGAATTGTGGGGATGATATCCTCCTAGGTAGAGAAGTTTCTGATGAAGAAGCAGTAAAGAAAGAGAAGGAAGAGAAGAGGAGATGTAGAATACCCCTAAATCAACCCCACCTCTTCCTGCCAGATCCAGAGATGAAGGGAAGGACAGCCAGCTCCGTGCGCGGCGGCGAACCCCCAGGGTGGCGGTGTTAGGGACACGGCCGGAGACGTGCACCTCCGGAGCTGCATGGTTGAAAACCCCCCTCTTGGACCTGGCCAGAGAACCATGCAGCTCCAGAGGAGTCCGGACACGGCCAGAGCATTCTCACTCTTGTGATCCCCAAGCTCTCCACATACCTAAATCACAGTACAGATATCCTGTGGTACCATCTTCTGGACTCTTGTGGTCATGCTGGTCTGGCCCCACAACTAGAAATCTACAACACTGCAACAATTACCTACAACACATCACCATTCAGATTCCCCCTGATTCAAGACATTGGCTGACCTTCTTGCCAGATTTGGCATGTGATGATTAACAGCACTTTGATGGTAACCTCTTACACTTGTCTTAGTGGAGCATTTGCCCTTTGAAGTTACCAACAGTGTCTTGTACGGTGTGGAGGATCTGTTATCGATGTTTCTCTGAGTGGGAATGGCTAAAGGGGGTGTTCAGCTCCGGAGTGGTACATCTCTGGCTGGGAATGATCAGGTCCGTGCAGCTCCGGAGGTGCACGTCTCCGGCCGTGTCCCTAACAGCGGTGTCGTCGCTTCGGCGGACTGAAGAAGAAGTGGGCGATGATTGTCAAAAGATCTTAGATTAAATGATCAACTCTGGACGATTCTCTCATTGAAGACCAGAGGCGTGAAAGCTGTGCTCAACAGAGGATGGAAGGCCGAAATCACTCCTTCCTGGGGATCCACACAAATCTAAGACCTGAGCGCTAAATAAGAGAGAGGACGGATGACTTGGAACATGGATCGCGCGTGTGATAAACGGTTAAACAGAACAGAGCAGAAGAGTGAGATGATTGAATTCTATGCCCCAGTCGGTGAGGTACTATGACCGGAAGAGTGAGCCCGGAATGGTCCTACCGGACATTCCCTTCCACCCTCTGGGAGGGTGTCAGAGACGAGAGGAGATCAACAAGAAAGTAATTTGTGCGCCACCTCAATCCCAATGGTTCTCTTTCTTTGAGACTTCAATGTCTTGTGCTAGATACCCCCTTGAGAAGTGCCACATCATATCATCCCAATCTGGAGGCTGACAACTGGCGGGCATGCGTCTCCTGAAAGTGAACCTCACAGCAGTTGGCAAGGTAGCTGGCAGACTCAAATCCATGCAACTCTTCAATAGTGTATGGCAATGTCTATCTATCCTCCCCCAGATCATTCACTCAATACTCTTTGTGTGTGAAGGTCCAAGTCTCCCTGTCTTGTGGGCAATCAGCTGCTTGTGATCAAGACTTCTTGACCCAGGTTATCCAGGAGTGTTTTCAAACCTACCCACATTGCGTAGGGTTGTGCGTTGCAAATTGTGCAGCTGAATCTGCTCTGCTTTGAGAAAAAGGTCCTGTATGCTTGCAAAATGACATGAAGCTTCAAAATTGTGGACTTCATGACCATAACAATTATACGCTTCCTGAGTAAACATTGGCATGCTGACCCAGATTGGAGAAGAGATCCCTGGTATCTGGAGATGGCCGGATAGTATAAATCTTGATGTGTCAGAATTGATGCCCAACTCTATGTTCAAAAGGTGATTTGTTGGAAGATTTTTGAGCACCCAGATTGAAAGTCTGAAAAATGCTTCTTCATGAGCAAGAATGGAGATCCCTGTAAGTCAAGATCATGTGAGTATTTTGTGAAAGTAACTAACAAGACTGTAAGATTGAACCAAATGGATGGACCTCAAGATTTAGCATCCTGATCTATGTGAGCACATCACTTACTTCAGTGGCCTGTAGAGCATTTGACATCCCAGAGTTGCCTTCAGCTCCTGTGCCTGATGTATTAACAACAGTAAACATAGGATCTATGCACTCCTCCTGGCTCGGAATGGACAACCAGCGACCGGAATTTCCCGTCCCGTATCTCATCTCGAGTCTACTCATGCTTCCTTCTATCTGTAGCTCACAAAAGTCATCCAGAACCCCATAAGGCTCATGAAATAGGACTTGCATGGTAAGCCGATCTAGGTAGAGTCCTGGTGTATCAATGACTACCACAATCTTACCCCGGGGGGGGGGGGGGGGGGGAGGCGGTAGAAACGCTTACCTCTGCTTTCTGCATCCAAGTCCACCAGTTTTTCGGGTCTGACGACAAGCTCCTGGGATCCAAAGCTGGCGGGTCTGTATTGGATGTTCATAGCAAGACCGAGTGTTGGACAAGGTGGGTGAGAATTGGATTGAAAGAGAGAATTTAGGCGTTTACTTCCTCTATATACTGGCAGGATACTCTCCGTTTCGGGTTAAAACCCCGCTTCGCTTGGTACTATCTCCGCAAGAATCCTGAGTGAAGGGAGAGAGGACCTGCTATGGCGTGATAGGGTGGAAGCGCGCAGGAAGGAGGAGAGGGGCGAGAAGGACGATGGGGGTGAGAAGAGAAGAGGGGTAAGAAATAGAGAGGGCGAGAAGTTGAGAAGTTGAGAAGTTGAGAAGTTGAGAAGTTGAGAAGTTGAGAAGTTGAGAAGTTGAGAAGTTGAGAAGTTGAGAAGTTGAGAAGTTGAGAAGTTGAGAAGTTGAGAAGGTGAGAAGGTGAGAAGGTGAGAAGGTGAGAAGGTGAGAAGGTGAGAAGGTGAAAAGGTGAGAAGGTGAGAAGGTGAGAAGGACAATAGGGTGAGGGGGGAAGGGGTATGAGAAGGAGGATTAATGAATATCCGGGCCGATAGGAAGAGGAATGTCTCATTGAGACGGGGCACTTGTCGGGGAGCTATGGCTAACTATGCCATAGTGATACGTCAAGTAGTAAACAATAAGATGATTGTTGATGAACTACGGCTAACTTCGCCGTGGTGTGTCAAACTGCTGGGTGGTAGCTCTCCTCAACTCGATGGTTGTAGCTACTGAATATATCTCTCGCTTCAGACAACAATCAAGGATCCCTGAAGAAGTTCAGTGATCTGTAATCTATCTGTACTTCTCTCCTCTCCTCATAGAATATCCCTTAACTCCTGCACAGCCTTGCACTCAGTGGTCTTTGTCCAACTTCGCCGTACTTTGCCATATCCCTGATGTCCTACTCAGCTCACTTCGCCACACTTTGTCTTATGTCTCCCACTCTACTCTGTATCTCTCCATTTCCTTCTACTAACTTTGCCGTAGTTCTTGGCCAGGCAGAGTTGTTGTGGCTAATACTCCCTAGGTTCCTGTAACTTTGTCGTAGTTGGTCTTGGTGGGTCAGAGTAGTGGTGGTTGATGGTGGATAGGGGTTTGGTGATGGTGAAAGGAGGGCCGGTGATGGTGGTTGTCAAGGATATTACAACATGGTTCGTGACACATAGTTTCTTTTCTTCAGCACTGTTTCTTCTTCATCTTTCTCGTCACCTCGTTTGTGAAAGTCACTCAGTTGGTTCTAACCCAACATCTCAGTATCCTCAGTACCTAAGGTAGCCATCAAGCTCTACAAGCCAGAGACCAAAACCCTTCAGTATCCAAGGCAGCACTTTGCTACCGCAGTCTACCCACAAGCGTGACACAACCCTTTTGTCATGACCACGAGCGTTGAAGTTGCTAATTCAGGTGATGTACCAGCCACCTTCATTGTCCACCACAAATAAACACTACCCGCCACCCTCATCTACATGCCTCTCTCGATCTACATACATAAGGAAGTGCATAGCTTGACCAACTTCAACAAATATATCGTGTTTGCCTCAGCATACAAATCCTCATATACATTGCCAAACCATTTCCCCTGATCATCAAATCATATCCTTCAATCATCCATTGTCTCACAACTAGTTCATGTTCCTGCAAGTAGCTCTATCTCCATAGATTGGCTCAGCTCCTCAACAAAGCTCCTTTGACCTTTGGTCTGGTCTTGAAACCTTTACTCACCAATCTAAGCCAGGTCCCTGGAGCTTGTTGCTATTGTCAGAGCATTGTGTGGCTACAAGGCTGTATAAGTGTGTTCTGGGTGCTTACGTACCTGAATTGGCTCACCTAAAATATGGAAGGGGGCCTGAGAATAGATTCTTTCCACAATCTGCTGCTGGTCCCAGGAGAAACCTCCCCCAACTGCTTGGAAATCATCAATACTTTCTTGTGTGGGCATTGGAAGCATACCCCATTGAACGGTCTCCTCCTCAGGTGCCCATGTGTCCTTGAACGCCACTGTCAAGTACAAGTGTACCACACTCCCCATCAGGACAGGATGAAGCTGCACAGCATACAGAGACTTTGTGGAGAGATTGATGATTGATACGTTGGAGAAAGCTGTCACGGCAGCAGAATGTGCAGCCACTGTGTGGGCTAGAGGACTAATCAGCTTTGGTGAGTTGTTTGGATAACAGAGACTCACCTTCTTTGGAGGGAGTTTCAAATGGATCACCTCTAGTTTGGTCTACTTCAGAGCATTCACCTGAGCAGGCATATCGAACTTGATGTTCTCTAATCAGCAGCTGGGTGAAATGACTCAATGTTTCGTTTGTTGGGAGCAAGAGCCACATAGAATCTCCTCCAATTGTATGATACAGGATTTGAGTCGGACCAAATAATTGGTCAATCCCTGCGAAAGTTCCCCCCGATTGTAGCAAGAGGATTCAGAGTGTCTCCATTTCCCGATCCTTATCTGTAGGTCAGTCAAATGATATGATTCCCTCAATAAGTCAGTGACAAACCCGCTGGAACCCTGTAATATGGAGGGGAAACTCTCAGTCTCTCTTCGCTCCACGGGAGGCCGTTGGTGGATCTGGTGGTCATTAGTAAGAGATGAAATATGAGATTTGGTTATCAGAATTACAAGTCAAAATCAGAGTTGAGACTGAGAGAGAAAGAAGTATCTATATTGATGGCTACCTGAATGAATTTACAAAAGTTTCCCGCGGTTCGGATGAGAACGTGAGAACGTGAGAACGTGAGATTTGCTACTCTTAGAGGAAGCGTATTGCTCCCACACCACCTCGTTGGATGGCAATCCGATACTGACGGAGTTATAGACCTAGCGAGCAAGATGAGAATCGACGACTAAGTACCGCTTTGGTAGATACTATCATTGATCCGGCCGAGGGCATCGACGGCCGAAGTAGCATTTTCGCCACATTGATTTAACCGCCACATTCGCTTGACTGCCACACATGCTCTTCTCTTCTCTAAGTTATCTGTTGAAGGTGGAAAACGACTCCTCTTACTTTTGAAGCGTCAGCGGAATGCGCAGCGTCCGACACAAGGGACATAGACGACAGGCAGCCTGGAAAGCGAGTATGTAAGGTCAAGGGTTGTCTCAAGGTGTACATATTCACGGGCGAATGAAGGGATGGGGAATGTGGAACGGGGATCTGACTCTGGTAGAAGGGTAGGATCGTTGCGTATGGAAATGATCTCAAGGTGAGTTTTCTCGTCCATGAGTCCTTCGTCAAGCTTTCTGATCCCTATCTTTTCAATAACAGTCGACATCCACATAGACACTTCATCTATTCGTTCGTCTTACAGGTTGGCCTACTCATGTTGTTCAGACACGCGGGCAAGGAATGGCTTCTCATACTCTTGATCCTTTTTGTCTTGGGCGGAATGAGAGAAACGGGAGGAAGTGGACCAAGATATGGTGACTAGTGTCAGCTCAGAGCCGAAGTACAGTCACTGACCTATCAGTTCTCGCCCGTAACCTTTCCTTTCTCATCGAGAAGCCAACGATCATAGCGCATGCCCATGACGAAACCGATGGAAGGCTCAGTAAGCAGCAATCATTAGGGATACACGGGTCCATGACGATTGGTTGGAAGGCATAAGGATTATGCAGCTTATCCTCGCTTAATGTGTGTCGTGTCCAGATAAACTCTCCCCTTCTGCTCGGATATAAATCTCTTGTTATCAGTGTCTCCTTTCATACATCACTCCACTCTTCTCGTGTCTACTCTATCAGCTGCCAATAATTACTCCAACCCGACCTGTACTATTTCTGTTTACTCAAGCAGCTGACATGCCTGACAGAGCGACCAACACCAACACTATTGACGAGACTCAGATGGACACCAGGATCACGAGTCCCACCGTCACCGCGGCTGCGGCCTCAAAGTTTGATAGCAAAGGTCGAGCGTTCCCTGATACTTTCAACAGCCGCGAGGAGTTCATTCAACATTATCGTAGAGTCCCCACTTTCGATTGGGAGTTGCGTAGTATCAAACCAATCACAGATGAGCAAAGTAGGAAGAGTCATTATGATTCTACCAAAGGAAATCCATCGTATGTCTCTTCTTTTCTCCTTTTCTTTCCCCTGTCTTCCCTCGGTTTTCCAGAGCGGGAATGGTGTGTCTGAGACGATTTGCGAGGTCGCTAATCTACAGGGCTTGGACGCCTGATGTTGATCTGAGCAAGTACGGAAATTGGCAACCCGACTTTAGCGCCGCTTCCTGGGAACGTGAATATCCCACTGGTTCTTCCAACCCATGATGTGAGCATTTAACCCTATTGTCGATGAGTCGGACGGTGGGAAGACCCAGAGGACTTTCTTATGCACAGACTATCACATGATATATGTAAAACGTTTGATCTGTGCGCAGGTCACTCATGCTTCTCCTATCAATATCAGTCACAATCTGATCATCTTCCATGTCCAACTTATATGATACATATGAACATTGCCGGATATGAGGAAAAGTCTTTCCGATTGTTGGCAAAGCCGGCTGGAGAAGCCCTTTTCGTGAAGGGTCTCATTGTCCCACGATCCCACGCCGAAGCCGAGAGAAGGTACGGAATGTAAGTAACGTTACCCTATGAGGCCTCAGCCTGCTGCCCTTGCTCCATCTAGCTGCATGCTCCACTTTCTCCATAGTATGCAGTGAATATGTGTATGATGGATTCTACCATTTGACACACTACTACTACTGTATGTGTACACGCCACCGATGTCAGTCGATGGGGAAAGTTTGAAATGAGAACTCTCTCAATCCCAAGCAGCTTCCCCCTCTAGCCCCTCTTCTGTTGATACGTTTCTCACTTTTCCTACTCCTGTGATCCTGACCCAACCACTTACGCCTGTTCCATTGGATTGACCGTCACGAATTCTCATCCTACCATCCCTCCATCCACCCCCTCGTCATTAAAAGTGGTGATTACGGAGAATTACCCAAAGCGGCAAATTGAGATTTAGTACTTCTCTCGCAGCCGTCAGCCAAACCTTGGATCAAGCACAGTCACCAACCACTAACTTACTTCCTCCTCAACATCATCTTCATCCCTCATCTCTCTTTCAATCGTCATCATCTCATTCATCCACATTGAGACGATCGACCATTGTCATCCTGTCCGGTTACACACAGGATAGCAAACGCCGGTTGACATCGAAGAGCGAGCGTTTATTACCGGAAGAAGCGGAGTACGATTTGGAGGTCGATCTTCCCACTCCGACTCTGAAGTACAGCTTTATTCAACAACCAATATCACCAAAATCATCCGAGGGTAAAGACAACGAAATAGGGACAGTGGATTGATTACCCAGGGTGTTCAGGATGTCTTTGGTGAGTCACTGATCAAATGTCTCTCACACTCTTTTCGGCTTTGTTGACAATCGTCCCACCTTGCCATCCTCTTCCTTCACGTTAAAAGGGCTATATGCGTCATACCTATTTCAGATGACGCAGGCTGTGCATCTCGAACTTTGACGATCTCGAGTATATTTGAACATGTCTCATTCCTCTTCCGATATACTCTTTCTCATCAGATCTTCTTGGACATTTACGAAGATGACATGACCCACGTGCATATCCTTTCACCCATTTGATCCTTACTTCATCCCTTTGATTCTGTGTATTCCGTCACATCATTCACAAGTGCTGATATATCACAGTCAAACCCATCTTCACCCTCTCTTACATCTTCAAACCCTATCCTCTTCACTCCATCCACATCTTCAACAGTCATGCAACCTTCGGTGCCTGTCGTTCCTCCCCGCTCGGCCCTTCGCTCCGCCGCTCCTCCACTCCGTTCTCCCCCGCCACCAGTCATGACCCACCGAGAACCGTATCAGTCAGAATTATCATCGCAAAGTACCCTCAGTCTCGAAACAACACAGACACCACAGACACCTTCCCTTTCCACTGGTTCTGACGAAATCGAGAACGACGAGAGTATCACCATTAAAAGTACTACTAGTCCGGTCACTTCTCCTAAACCTGGATGGTCCAATTGGGGTCGTAAGAAAAAAGGGAAGGATGTTTTCAATAAAGACCCTTTCAAGGTCAAGGATGGTCTACCGAGTAAAGAAGCGTCCAGTGGGGTTTACACACGTACGTCGTCCAACCTATCTGATCAGAAATATTTCTCGGTTCCTTCCACTGCCACATCGCTCCACCCTCTCGACTCATTTCCCACCTCCTTACTCCTCTGCATCATTCCCAATTTCCCATACTTCGTGTTCTACGTTTAGACGATATACAAAGGTCTATGTCTGATCACCCAGCTCCGACTTTCCCCGGCCCGACTGCGTCCCCAGCTCATTCTCGTCACCCATCCACCATCTCCTCATCCGGCTACTTTATATACCCTGACCTTCCTCAATCCCCATTCTCCCCCTCTCGTACCTCCTCAGGCTCATCAGCCTCAGGCGACACCCCACAAACACCAATCACCCCCAACCGATTCTCGAAATTCTCTTCCGCGGCAGTTTCATACGGCTACAGTCTCAAACGTCTGTCATCCTCTATCACCTCTACACCTAATGCCGGTGATGGCTATATTACAGCTATGAGAAAATCATGGACCGGAGCCGCTCAACCGTCTCCAGTAGTCCCCCGTGCATTGTATGGCGAACAATACACTGAAGTTCCACGATACTTTCCTCCATCTCCAGCTGTAGGCGCAGGTTTGGGATTCGGGTCAATCGGTCCTGTCCCACAGAGGAATACGAATGGACCTAGGAGCACCAGTCAGCCAGCCAGAACGGTTGGGGCGGAGGGCCCGCTCGAAGGAGAGCAAAAGAAGGAAAGGGGAAGGAGGAAGCCGGTACCAAGAATAGAAGATGTGACGGGGGAGGTCGCAGGACTTGCTGTTTAAAGTCAATCCGAGATTCAGACCCTTGAGATGAAGGTGAGCTACGAGTGTAGATTTTGTGTGCTATTGTCATTGCATGTTGGACATTTGGAAAGAAGAAAATTTAGTGTAAGATGGATGTAGTGATACAGAAGTAGTACGTTTGACTATACTATCCTATCCCCACGCCTTGTCCTCGTTCCTCCATTGCAGTCACTTATCAGGGAGATCGACTATCTGCTATTGATGTTCTGACTACTGATCTTCGATGAGCACCGCTTATCATGACGTATGTGGAATATTCGCCAGTGGAAACCTCCCCCCGCCCCCCCCCTCCCCCAAGGCAGAGTATCGGGCGGTGTCGACGATCCTTTGACACGAAATGGTTGATCCCCCGATGGTATGTGTTTTCTTCCCATCCACTTCAATCTTCTCTTCATACCATCTACAACTCACAACAATCACATCCCCATTTGGCCATTGTGTTGTCCGGCACTATTCAGCACTCCCTAAACCATGACCCCGCCTATAACATCGTCATCACGACCTACCTTTGCGACCTCCAGAGCTCACGCGTTACCCTTGTTCTTCTCTCAGTTGAAAGGAGGAACTATAAGCATGACTTACCAATACGTTGCAGACGGAATCACAGCCTGGATCAGATATGAAAATGGGGGTTATGTGAAGTCACTACCGGTCCCGTCTCAGGGAGATCTAGATGGTTTCGTGCGTGACTGGAGTCCAGGTGAGTTACTATCAACCATCAGTTCCGGAATCACGAGACAGACTCACAATCAGACTCGACTTACGAACGTTCATCTCTTAAAGTATTGTCGGACCGGACGGGCGGTTCTGCTGCACCTACATTGTCTCTTGGAAGCGGGGACGAATCACTTCATCCCAGTCAGCTACTTATATCTGTTGACATCACAGTGCTGATACATGACAGGGGACTCGGATATGTGTTGGCAATGTGTCCATGTGCACCAGTGGATCAATGGGGTACGACTTGAGAAACCCACCCTAGTGCTACTCGAGCTTGGCGGAGAGAGTGAACGCACCATCGTGGCTTACTTTGAGGGAACCGATGAGGCTGGCCGACCCGTTTCGGTGCTCCTACCGACGGTAGAGACATTGGCAGAGTGGTATAAATATAACCCGCCACAACATCAATCCAGAAAACAACTCACTTTGTCTGGCACACCTGTAGTATCAACAGAAGCGGGGTTCGAAAAGTTTCAGGCCGAACTTAGGGAAGCCATGAACAATCTGATGATTGACAAGGATCCGCTGACCAGTGACACAATTAGTCACCAAGAATCGTCGTCCTCGACCGCAGGAAACACTGGTAGTAAGGGGTTGTGTCTGAGCCTGAAGTACAAAGTTGAGACTCCATTTCACGATGAGACATGATCAATCACACCATTCTCAACACTTACACAATTCCATTCTGCGTTCTGGCCGTCGTCTGCCTTTCTCGACCGAGATCTGTCCACATATTGTGAAAGATGTCCTCATAGATGTGAATTTTGACTTGATGTATCTCTTGTGTCTTATCAACTTAAGTGAGTCTTTCACCTAAGCACAATCTTTCCCTCAGTTCCGGGATGTTATTGTGAATATCATTATACAAATTGAGAACATGTTTATACGCAATGGAGCACGTCGTTCACCATCTTTCCGACAGAGAACCCTACCTCCCTGCTCCGGTTATTTGATGTAACACCACCCTCTTCACCGTATGCCCGCTTTCACTCCTGTTCCATCAGGGATGAACAGCATCTTGGTCATGTGAACAGCTGCACAAGCTTCAAAACCGCTTGCACACGAAAAGCCTCCAGCGCAGGTTTTCGACGTTGGGATGTCCACCTTGGGACACAGGCCAACATACAGTCCGAGCAATCCTCTAACATGTATGCCTAGTATTAGGACACTCTTGAGCGAACTAGTCAGAGGTTTTGAGGTCCCAGGTAGTGTGATGTGAGATGATGTGACCGCGCAACTATTGGGTCGTCGGAAGATGCTATGACATTCGTGAGGCGGCATTGGGCCGACTAGACGAGGTGAGCTGCAATTTGATTTTTATGAGAAGCGTTGGTCTTGCTACAAGTCCTGATTCTGTTATTGGATAAAGATGGTACCTCCTGAATCTCTGTTTCCATGCGCCCAGGAAAAGGGATTGAGAGACCTCACCTCGAAACGATGACCTGAGAAATGCGAAGTATCCAGACTTGGAGGGATAAGTGTGTGCTACAAAAAAGAGGACGTGACATGATTGGGATGAAAGATAGTGCAGTGCAACATGCTCCACAATAGGTTGACACCTGACCATATGAGTCGATTTCTTCTCGTCAAGCAAATGTGTCCGTCTGATGCTTCATTGTCGATATGATCACTAGCTCCATTCGACTCGAATTTGACAGACGTGGTTCCGTGCGTGATAGTTCCCCTTCCGACCAACCCGATGGTCCGGCCGACTACTTGAACACGTATACGCTCAGCCTTCACTTTGAGTCTTTTCTTTGTTGACTGGACTTCCAAATAAGAGAGGAGTTTCAATAGATTTGGCTATATGTACCCAGGTATTCTCGAGTTGCCGCTTCAACAGGAAGTTTCACCGCATCAAAGCGAATCAATGCAGTTTTGGAACAAAGGCAAGAAGACTGCGCAATCTACTGACATCTCGCCCGAAAGTACAGCACCTTCTGACAGGTTCAGTGATTTCACATATGGTCACCTTTCTAATCAAAATGGTCAGTGGCATCTTCGAGGTGTGTCCTACCATAGCAGCAAAGTACAGGTTTGTACTCAAAGTGACAGGGCGCCTGAGCATCAACCATCAAAATCACTCCCTGGGCAAAGAGAGCTAGCTCGTTTTGCTGCCTTGGAGCCTGAACTAATAAGTCATGGACTCATTGCAAATACTTCATCTTGTTTCAGTGAGTGCTGCTCAGGTACTTCACATGACTACAGGGCTGACTATATCCAGCTGCCGGGAACGGGGCCAAAGAAATGGCAACGCTGACCATGTCTGCGCCGCACTTGACATCCACCCTTTTTCAAGCCTCGTTCAAGGTGGTGCCATACTTGGATGGCACTTTTGCCATCAAAGCCTACGGATTTTGCCAAGTCAACTGTCACAAGACATACTGACCAGCATATGCACAATATAACAGTGCCCAACGGAACAGTGATCTAAACCACTGCGACGAAAAGGCCTATTAATCGGCGGTTAACTCTACCGCCGATCGCTGGTTAAATACCCTTCCCTGACTGTCACAGTCGTCGTTTCTTCTTCTCTACTGACCGACGGTCGACAAACCTCGGCTAACTACGTCGTAGTGGGGCGTCGATGTCTCACTAAGACAGGGTACTCGTCGAGGAACTACGGCTAACTTCGCCGTAGTACGTTGAACTGCTCGGTGGTAGCTCTCCTTAACTCGAAGGTTGTAGCTACTGAATATATCTCTCTCTACTGACAACAATCAAGGATCGCTGAAGAAGTTCAGCGATCTGTAAACTATCTATACTACTCCTCTCTTCTCATAGAACGTCCCTCAACTCCTGCACTGCCTCACGCTCAGTCCTCTTCGTTCAACTTCGCCGTACCTCGCCATATCCCCGATATCCTACTCCGCTCACTTTGACTAACTTCGCCTAACTTCCCCTGTTCTGCTCTCCCTCGGTTCCCTTCCCCTAACTTCGCCGTAGTTCTCCGCTAGGAGGGGTTATCGTGACAAATCCCCCCTTGGTTCTCGTAACTTCGCCGTAGTTGGTCTCAGTGGTTCGAGTGGAGGTTGGTGGTGGTGAAAGGAAGGTCGGTGATGGTGAAAGGAGGGTTGGTGATGGTGGTTGTCAGGGATGTTACGACGTAGTTCGTGACATCAACGATGCTTCAAAGCAAAAGCAAGATGCCACCATTATAGTCACCCATAGCCATCAAATTGCAACCATACCTATCAACTGCATACTGCCAGATGCAGAAGTGGTCAGCTGGGCTATGCAGAGTAAGGGTGTGAGCGATCTGTACAAGTTGTTTAACGTGACCCCTTCCAATGAGGCTTCCAGAAGTTCTTCACAGCAAATCTCTGTGATTCCAAGGCTTGACTTTGAGGGGATCAAAGCACAATTTTTGGCTGCTTTGTCTGCGGATCTCCCACCTCAACAAGCCCCCACCGACATGGCGGAGATGACACCTGCAACAGGGACTAGTTTGAGCATGGTCGGCCACAGCAATTTTTCTGGCTCCCTCGGATCCAAAGAAGCAATGAGGAGATTGTATGATAAGAGGAGAAAAATGGACAGCCATGGAATCACAACGGTGAATCTTGCACCCCAAGCTATGGAATGGTGCGCCATGACCCGTCCTGCTGCACCTGCTCTTTCAGACAACAATTCGAGGAACGTGCAATACCTATCAGAGGAGCTTGACAGAGAGGAGTAACTCAGTTGGTGAAGAGACATGGGTTGGCAGTCAGAGAAGTAGAGATCATAGGTAGTGAGATGACATACTGTACAGGCCGGAGTGACACTGTACATGAAGTTCTTCCCACCACATGCAGAACACGTCATGCCGCATTACTACATGGGTCAAGGACAATCCTGCGGTCTTCACCTATCACGATTTGCTATCGATAATTGAGTCATGATGAGAGCACCACATGTACACACTTATCACCACTCAGATACCCACCATCCGAATGCGGAATCAGAGTGTTGCCGGCTTACTGATCTGAGATTCATGAAGCGAGGAAACAGTACGCAGTTCCTTCTGATCCGTGCGCCACCCGTTCCTTCCGTCGTCGATGAAATACTGCATTTGGCTTTCACGCTCACTTGGATGTCGAGAAGAAGAAGATTGTCCCGGCAGCCAGCCTCTGATTTCCTCCTTGTTCAGAGCTACAAACCCCATAGCTTCTCCCACGTGAGGAGAACTCGCCATACTGTTAGTTCGACGACTACACCCCGCCAAGATCGACTTCGGACGTCTAAACCCTGCCTTTCCGGTTACATCATTTGCTACAGTATAATATTCATCCCCCCTTTTCGATCTTCCCAAGTTCTGCATATGAGGGCAGCCGGTGAACCCTCACCATTCCGCTCGAGTGAAGAAAGAGGAAGAAAGTTTCGAATAAGAAGTTGCGAGGGATGGCCTTCCCTTCCCACAGGGCCCAGAGCTCTTCACACGGATTAGTCAACTGCACAGCCCTGTTGAGACATCAGATAACACTTCTCTTTCCTCTTCTCTAGTTCACTTTTATCCGATTTTCTAGAGTCCACCGTGTTTATCATCCAAGTACTACAGTCGGGTGTAAAAAGTCATGTCCGCGTGTTTCATAGTAATTTGGCTGGGAAACTCTCTGCTTAAAATTGTGGGACCTTCATCTTTGACACAATTTGGTGCATGACAATGAAAGTCCACCACATTGTTATTGTGATTCTCTTCCATTCAGATATGTAATCACTTTGGCATCTTCAGTAATAAGATCTGTTGTAAACCTACTTGAAAGAAAATGCATTTTGGTCAAAAAGCGGCTTTTTGGGTGGTTTTTGGACAAAGTGCCTCCTCTTCCGGTCATGGCCATGCATTGTTGTCCAACATATGTACTAGCAAAGAATGCCCAGGATTGTTCATCGTGGATAGATGTACAAAATTCATTATGACATAAGCCATGCATATTGTCAGCTGAAAGAGATATCATACGACAAAGTGGGACATCATGATTTCCCAGCCAAATTACTATGAAACATGTGGACATGACTTTTTACACCCAACTGTGTTTTGCTGATTATTAGATGATAATACAGAGGGGAAAAGAGCATGCATCAAGTCTACATGTCTCTACACTTATCATATTCCACTCATACGCAGGAAACCAGAGACGATCGAAAAAAGTTCAGAGGATGAGTTGAACGAAGGGATATTCGATGGAAGGGGAAATTTTCAACGGCGGTTCGGCCGTCCTGGGCCAATCCAATCGGCTAACAAACTGTATCTACTCGACCCATCAACCAGTCATAGCAATGAACCCGTCGGCAGACACACTCGAGCCCCCATGTCATGATCACAACTCTGACCTCCACTTTCATGTCCTTAATCTTTCACCTCTGCTCTCAAGCCTATCAGGCATAAACTCCAAGTGTACTCCAGTCTCCATTTCCTCTGCTCCAAAGCCTATCAGGCATAAGTCCCAAGGAATTCTCTAGTTTCTCTTTCCTCTGTTCTGATGCCTTGTAAGGCATAATTCCTCAGTCTCTTGTTGTCACAGCTCTTCTATGTTCTGCATAGTTCCTTGTCGACCACCTTCGACAAAGTCACTGACTTCCGGTGCATCACGTAGGTGTCACGGCCGTCATACAACTTCTCTCTATAGACCAACGGTCGACGAACCTCGGCTAACTTGTCTCTTCGGTGACGGGGTCTCACCCAAGCAGGAGGGCACAGACGTCGAAAGGAGTGTAACTACGGCAAACTTCGGCGTAGTTAATCTAACTAGGGTTTTAGACTGATGGCGATGTATCTCGATGTAGCTGTAGCTATCTCTCTCAATCTTTCACTACTGACAACAATCAAGGATCGCTGAAGAACTTCAGCAATCTTCTCAGCTAAATGTATCCACCACTCCTAGATGTTCATCCAACCCATCCGCGCTTCAACGCACTTCGGCCAACTTCCCCGAACCACCAAGCACCCGTTCTTCTAACTTCGCCTAACTTCGCCATACCTCTGCTCCCTCTATCCCTGCCCAACCTAACTTCGCCTAACTTTGCCATAGTCGGTCTCAGATGTCCTAGGGTATGTGTAAACCAAAGAGGTTGAGAAATGATGGAGGTTTGAGGGGCAAGGGGGGGTCGTTGTTGGTGGAATTTAGGGGTGTCACGACGTAGTTCGTGACAATAATGGTGCTACTCACCATATACCTCCTCATAGGTCGATAATGACCGACTAGCAGAGCCAAGAGTATTCGGGCTAGCATCTGGCAAGTCAATGACAGCTTGGGAAACAGGTGACATTAATCTCGAACTAGATTCCGGACAGAAAATGGTACTGAAAGATGTACATCACGTCCCCACAGCGAAGATAAGTCCTGTTACGTGATGCACGGAAGACGTGACGCTTCGAAGCGTCACGGCCCTCATGCATGCTTGACGTGACCAGCTGAAGACCCGTGATACTTTGAAGCGTCACGGGTAAAGCCGTGCCTCTTCGAAGGGTCATGATTGAAAAAGTATGTACTGTAACTCAGCTGAGACCCAATTGGAGCATACTTTTCATGTGACATCAATCAGACAGGAAACCAAGTTCAATCTACAACTTCATCTCCAAGCAGCGCTTGACCATACTTCTCATAGAACCTATTCCTGTCACGAACTACGTCGTGACACCTCCATTACTCCACCAACAATGACCCTCCTTTGACCATCAAAACCCCCATCACGCCTTAACCTTTTTACTCTACACGTAACTCAGGACTTCTGAGACCAAGTACGGCGAAGTACAACGGGAGAATAAGATATACGGGGGCCTGGAGCATAGGGACAACGAAGTGCGGCGATGTTAGGCGGAGTTAGGCTAAGTAGGGACAATGGGAGCAGAAGTACGGCGAAGTTAGACGGAGTTAGGCTAAGTAGGGACATGGGAGCAGAAGTACGGCGAAGTTAGACGGGTTAGGCTAGGC